TGTCCTTCCTACTATTCTGCCTATAGAGCAATTTTTAAAAATGGAAAAAAATAAAAACAGAGCCTTCATTATATCCATAGTATAACAAATCAAATTTTTACACTAGCCATGTCCAAAAATATATGTCTGATTTTAAGTTCATCATCACTCTGTAAGTAGTTAAATGGAGTATTTCATCTACATTCTGTTGGATTCATGGTTTATCATTATGTTGATCAGAGTTGAAAAGTTTTTCTGATTTTCTCTAAAATGTTATCGTTGTATAAATTGTTCTTCTGTTTCTGCTCAATTCATTCTGCATCAGTCCATAATTGTGAATCTAATTTATTCTGAAATTGTGTATTTCATTATTTCTGAGGGTAAATTACTTTCATATACTATAACTTGTTTAGCCATTCCACAACAGTAGGACTCTCGCATTTACTATCTTTGGATACCACAGAAAAACCTGATATAAATATTTTATATAGCGATTTCTTAGATATATTGGCCTGGTGGTGCTGCTGGGTCAAAGGATATGCATAATTCAGTGACATTCTCAGGATAATTCCAAATTGCTTTCCAGAATGGCTAGACCAATTCACAGCTCTACCAATAGTGCATCAGTGTACCTGTTTTCCCACAGCGTCTCTGACATTTGTCGTTTTCTTCTTTTGTTGTTTTCATAGTCTGATAATTGTGAAATGGAATCTTAAGTCTGCTTCAGTTGGAATCTCTCTATTAGTGAAATGAAGCATTTTTTCATTTACCTACAGATATCTAGGTTCTTTGCTTTGAGAACTGCCTGCTCATATCCTTAGAACATTTATTGTTTGGGAAATGGCTGTTATTCTTATGAATTTTAGTCAATCCCTCGTATACCTTGAATAGGAGACCTTTATCAGAGAAATTTGTTGCAAGGTTTTCATTTCAAATTAATGATAGTGAGTCCTATACCCAGTACTTGGGATCTTTGGGTTTATCCAATACTGTGCTGCTTTGTGCATGTTTTTTCTTTCTATTGTGTACCTCATGTGTTGTACTTTTTTTTACTAGAAGTAAATTATTTTAATCATTTCTGCTTTCTAATATAGTTTTAGATCTGTTACTAACAGACTCTCTTTCCTTCCCAGTTTTTTTTCATTATTTCCCTTGAGATTCTTGATTCCTCCAGATGATTTTTGCTATAATTTTTTCTGTTTCTATCAAATATTCCTTTGGTAGTCTGATTGGCATGGTATTGGAATGGTGAAATAATTTAAGTAGCATTGTCATTTTTATCATATTGGCATATGAGTGTAATCAGATAATAAAGTAAGGCTGGAGGGTGAAGCTGGGCAATATTGGACAGCTGTGAATACTAGACAGAAGAGTTTAGCACTCAGCCCCTTATTTTTTTATGCAGTAGGGAGCTATTGAAATTTTTAGTAGAGATGTAACATGACCAGATCTATGTATAAGGAAGATGGGTCTGACAGTTGTTTCAAGGAAGGAGAGTCTAGGTAGAAAGATTTGTTAAGTGATTTTCACAATAGTACACATGTATGCTAGTGAGGACCTGTACTAGATTGGGGCAGTAAGAATGGTGATGAAGGGAGGCAGCATGAATGGGAAAGATGTTGAGGGAGTAAAGAAGAGGGAAGAGTCTATTACTATGTTTTTCTTTACCCTTATCTCATCTCCATTCCTATTTTAATGAAAAATTCTCATGGAAATTTTATTTAATTTAAATTCTATATTACTAACATAAATTGTAAATATATTTATATTGTATAACATCTAGATTATATAATACTGATAAATATTAAAATGTACCTATTATAAATATAAATACTTACAACATTTTACTACATATATAATACTTAATTTTAGACAGGTAAAAGGCATACCACCCAAATCTCTCTTCTCCTGCATCTTTTCTTTTGTCTTCTTTTCTTCTACCTCACTTAATTCCCTGGAGCTTCTTTCTATCCCTAGAAATCCTCTCTCTTTCTTTTCTCCTAACATGACACATAAAGCCCTTCTAATGATCACTCAATCAGTACATATTGATTGAATGATCTTTGCCCTGAAGGATCAAGAACAAGAGGTATATGTTATTTGGTATAAGAAAATGAAAAAAAGGATTGCCCTATGGTGAGTTATTGACTCGTATAGAAGGAAAAAGAGGCTGTCACCGTGCACTTTGAGGGACTATGTTGTAAAGCTCCAGTCCCATCCCACTGGTCCTCGAGATACCTTCAGTTCCTACTTTGTCTGGAATCAAGCCATTTATTCTGTTCAACTAGAACACAAAATAGAATCAGGTATAACTTCTCCCAAAGTGAGTACTTTCCACAAGTGTGATATCAGCCTTTTTCAGAGGTGACAGCTTTCAGATTAACCTCGCTCTTCTTCCTATCCAGAGGTTGGTGGCTTTCTACCTTCTTCAATGGAATACTGCAGTTTCCTCATCTTCAGAGTTCTGGCTGAGATCCAGATGGCACCAGAACTGTATTGGTTATCCTCATCAGCCATTATTTGGCTGCAAATGGTGGTTGTGGATTTGTGGGCTCCAGTTTCTCAATAGCCTTGTATTCCTGTTCTTGTTCAGTCATTTCAATCGTGCCCCATTCTTCATGACCCCATTGAGGGTTTTCTTCTCAAAGATACTGGAGATGGATTTCTTAATTCTTATCCTATAAATGATGTCTTTGACTAACTTGCTTCTTAAATTCCATTTCTAGTCAGAGTAGGTATTGGCAGGATAATCCAGTAATTGAATTCAGCAAGCATTTGTTAAACATCTGTTCTGTGGTAGGAACTGAAAATTCAGAGACCAAAAAGTATTAAGTCCTTTTACTCAAGGAGCTTACATTTTATTTACATTATTATTTACATTACATTTATACTCTTTTGAGTATAGGTTTAGCAGTAGTATCGCTGGGTCAAAGGGCACACACTGTTTAGCAACTTGTGTATAATTCCAAATTGCTTTCAAAAGTGGTTATACTCATTCACAGGTCCACAAACAGTGCTTCAATGTGCCTGTTTTCCCATAGCTCCTCCAACATGTATCATTTTCCTTGTTTGTTATCTTTGGCATTCTGATGGATATGAGATGGAACCTCACATTATTTTCGTTTACATTTCTCTAATTAGCAATGATTTGGAGCATTCCCCCACATGTCTATAAATAGATTGGGCTTCTTCCCTTGAGAACTGTCTTTTGTTAAACTATTTATTAATTGAGGAAAGGCTGTCATTCTTATAAATTTGAATCAGCCCCTTGTGTATCTTGGAAATGAGACCTTTTTCAGAGAAACTTGCTACAAAAAATTTTCCCAGTTACTCTGTCTTTTAATATTAGCTTATTAGATTTCTTGGTCAAAAAATAATAATTTTATGCAATCAAGCTTATTCAAGTTTTCTTTGATCCTCTCTATTTTTTTTGTTTGATCATAAACATTTCTCCTATCCATAGAAATGATGGATAACTTTTTTTCCCCTGTATTTTAAAATGCTGTTAGAAATTCAAGTAGGGAGTGGATTCAAGGTATAGGGAACAGCATTAGTAAAGGTGCAACAGTCAGAAAGCTCAGGGTGTAACTTCAGTCAGAAAGGTAGTTGATTCATGGAGCAAGAAATCAAAAGCTACTGCTAACTAACCTAATGGGGGCAGCAACTCCTCTCCTACTCAGAAGCTGTCTGTAGACAGAATATAGAAAGAATGAAGAACCTGGATATTTAGACTGACTTTTATGCTGCTCCATTCTATTGTGATGTTTGGATGATATGTTTTGGAAAGAAGGAGAAAGCAAGAAAGTCAGATGATACTTTGCAGTGGCAGAGCAGGGCAGCTCTGGGCAGTCTGGTTACCTGGGTGGCTTTCCCTGAGCGTCTGTGTCTGTGTTCCCTGGAGCTGTTAATGTCCCCAAGTAAAGTCTTGTGCATTGGGCTGCACTGCGAAGTACTTAAGATCTTAGGAATGGAATATACCTAATGACTAAGCAATGGTGACTATGTATGTCAAGATCAACAATAGCAATATTCTGTGGTATACTTCTTGGGCCCCTTCCCTATTGTCTACAAAGTGACTTTCTGGGATCCTGAACCCTAGCAATCGATGGGCACATAATATTTGTATGAGGAAATATGAGAAAGACTAGTCATTTGATTGGAGCATGAAGTATGTGAAGGTGAGGAATGTGAGAGAAGGGTAAGGGGCTTCAATGTCTAGATAAGGATATGGAACTTGACTAGGCTGATTATAAAGATCTGCTTCAGAATTTCTAACAGAGGAATGACATTACCAGATCTATGCATACAAATTGTGAGTTTGGCAGCTGTGTCTAAGGGTTTAAGGAGGACGGGAAAGGAAAAGGTATAGAGGAAAGGAGGGAGAGGGACTTAATATGCCCTCCCAAAAAAAAGCAGCAAGTGAATAGGTTAATTTTAGGCCTTCATTTGAGTTCAAGATCTAACAGTGCTGGTTTTCCAGAATGTGCTTATTTACAAGGTGGAAGTCTGATAACTGATCTTTATGTTCATCAGCTCACAGTACTCTCTGAATGAACCACTCTACTCTGTAAATGGTAGACATCTATAATTATACCTAATGATAGCATAGTACAATGCAATAATTGATAGTTAAACCATCAAGAGGTTAATGCTTAATAAAGTGGGTTAATGTAGATATATTAATAAAATATATGCAAAATTAAAATTTTGAGGAATTATAAAGGAAACAAATTAGACTGAAACATTATCATTTTTTATAGTTGACAGAGGTTACAATCTCCTGATCTAGAGGGAAATGATCACAAGCCATAATAATGTGTGGACTTCGGATTAATTTGATTTACTTTCAGCTTTAAAATCAAGTTTGGTAGATAAGTTTCTTGAAGCTCTCAATCTTAGTTTTAAATGTATATGTGATACTTCATATATCAGAAAAAGTGATGCTTTTTTATTATAATGAAAATATTAACTTTTATTTTTATGAACATTTTCTGTTCTTCCCTCTACTCTATCTCATGCAGGTCTCTTACATAAAGAAAAGAAAGGGGATTAACACTTACAGGATGAAAAAATGGCAATGTTGCCTCCCCCAGGACCTGAGAGCTTTGTCTACTTCACCAGACAGTCTCTTGCACTCATTGAACAACGCATTACTGAAGGAAAATCTAAGGAACCTAAAGAGGAGAAAACAGATGAAGAAGAAGAAGGCCCAAAGCCAAGTAGTGACTTGGAAGCTGGTAAACAGCTTCCATTTATTTATGGAGACATTCCTCCAGGGATGGTGTCAGAGCCCTTGGAAGATATGGACCCATACTACATGGATAAAAAAGTGAGCATTTCCTGTAAACCAAAAGATAATGTTTTGGTTTCACTCTCCATACAAGAAGAATTTTTAAATTAAGATAATTAAATTTATTGAGTCTGTGAGAGAAGAACAGGGCTACTAAGTTTCATTCAAAACTAAGATCAGGAAGAATAGTAAGAATCAGCAATGGGCTGCGGCTTTGAATAGCACTCATCAACTTATTCAGCCAGTCACTAAGTAAGCATTTATTAAGCACTTAGTGTGTGTCAGGTGTTTTACTAAGTTCTTAAGGCAAAAAAAAATAGTTCCTGCTATCAAGTAAACTCATAATTAAATGCATTAGATAATACACAGAAAATATATGGGCTAAATTGGAGATGACTGTAGAAGAAAGGCACTATATATGTGTGTGTGTGTGTGTGTGTGTGTGTGTGTGTAGTCCTCAAATATCTTCTACATCATTCATAGGGTATGCAATTCAATTATAATAAATTGATCTTTTAAAATGTTTATCATTCCTCTGTTTTCAATGGCTCCCTACTAAAAGATAGATGACCCTAGGAGGTACCTTAAGCCATTATTAAAAGTAGGGATTAGTTTCATATTGCTTTCTACTTCTAGCTAATTGAGTATAAACCTTGTGGGAATGGGACACAGGAGAAACCCCAGTGTGGCATCTGGGAGCACCAGTCAGAAAGAGCAGAACACTGAATGTGTAGATATCATGATCAATTCATGGCAAGTTGGCCAAAATGGTATATTGCTTGCCTTTTCTTTTTTTTTCAACCTGATAGTTTATATTAATCAATCAATAAGTATTTATTAAGTACTTAGCATGCGTCAGGCACTGTGATTAGCACTTTGGGATATACATGAAAGCAGAAACAATCCTTGCCCTCAAGAAGCTTACATTCTAATGGAAGAAACAGCATGACATAGGTATATTTACAAGATGCAGGGTAGAAACAAGGTAATTTTAGAGGGTGAGACACCAGTAGTTTGGGGAACTTAGAAAGCTCCTTTTGCAAAAGATCACATTATAACTGAGTCTTAAAGGAAGCTAGTAATTCTATAAAGTAGAGGTGAAGAGAGAGAGAATTCCAGTCATGAGAGACAGTACAGAAGCATGAAGTTGGGAGGTGGAGCATGATGTGTGAGGAACCCCAAATAAACAACATGGTTTGATCATAGAGTGTTGGGTGAGAGTATTGCATAAAAATCCTGGAGATGAAGCCAAGGCAAGGTTGTGAAGAGCTTCAGATGCCAAACAGAGGTATTTGTATTTGATCATAGAACTAATAGGGCAGCAAGGGAGCTAATGGAGTAGGAGAGAGAGACATAGATTTTAGGAAAAACACTTTGGAAGCTATTTTGGAACATGGATTCGAGTACATGGGGAGTTTAGGAAGGGAGGCCAGTTAGAACAGTATTGAGTGAGAGATGGTGAGAGCTGAACTAAGATAATGACTGTGTGAGTAGAGAGAAGGGGATATATAGGAGACGTACTGTGGAGATAAACATCAGAGCTCAAATTAAAGCTGACATTTCTCAAATTAAAGGGCATCTGAGCCAGTTGTTTTGTAGGGGTGGCTAGCTAGTATGGTGTATTAAGTGCTTGAGTAGGAGTCAGGAAAACCCATGTTCAAAGCCAGCTTTAAATACTTGCTAGCTATGTGATCCTGGACATATCAATTAAACTCTGCCTCAGTTTCCTCATCTGTAAATGGAGTTCATGAGAGTCTCACAGGTTTGTTGTGAGGATCAAATGAGATATTTGGTAAGTGTTTTGCAAACCTTAAAGTAGACAAATATTAGCTATTGTGAGGATGAGGATGATGATGACTTAGAGCAGGGATGGGGAACCTACAGCCTCAAGGACAAATGTGGCCCTTTAAGTCCTCAAGCTCAGCCCTTCAACTGAATCCAATTAAAGGTTCCCCACCCCTGATTTAGAATATAGCATGAAAATATTTTCAAAGATGTTTACAAAATGCAGGCTATCTCTTCAAAAAATAGATTCTTGAATATATGCTATAGACATTGTGCAGTATACATCCCTTTTCTAGAATTAAGAGCACAGAGTGATTTTTTGCCTTATTGTTAATGATGCAGAATTCCATGGACTAGACCTTAGGAAAGCATTTTAAACTGAATAGGAAGAAAAATATGCAAGGTAAAACAAAAACTATAAATAACCAAGAATTTCTAAAAATGGTTAGAGATTAAATTTAAGCATATATTTAATGGTATAGATATACTCTTATATTTAATCTACTTAATGTTTTCTTACAGTTTGTATGTTAAACTATGTTAGAATCTCCAAGACTATTTAAATTGCAGAAAAGTTGAGAGGAGACCCAAGTAGAAGATTTGCCACACCAGAACTCCCTATATACATGAAATTTTAGATCTGTTTAAAAAGGAAAATCCTTGTTACCAAATGAAAGAAATAAAATGTAGCATCATTTACATTTTGATTAAGGATAATGAAAATTTATATTCTTTGAAAGTTTTCAGTTTTCTGTCCAAATTAGAGTAATATGTTCTTCAGCCTTGTTGATTGTCACCCCCAAATAACCTGCTGGAGGAGATATGATTCTTATTTTGTCTAGTGATTATAAATTTTCTAGGGAATTTAGAAGAGGATTAAGTATCAGCTTCTGGTAGCTAAGCACTAAAAATCTGTGAATTACTCTCTGTAAAGTCTGGCCCAAATGTGTGTTTCAGCATGCAGAATAAATGTTGTTTGATGGCGGGACAAACATACGCACAATATTTGTAGGGGGAAAAGAGCAACAAAGTATAAGATAGGTCACAAGATGACAGTTTTTTTTTAACTTAAAGGAAAGCACAAGCTTAGCACATTATTAAGAAAGGAAAATTGGGGGCAGCTAGACCCTGGATTCAGGAGGATCTGAGTTCAAATTCAGCCTCAGACATATAACACTTACTAGCTGTGTGACCCTGAGCAAGTCACTTAACCCCTATTGCCCAACCAAAAAAAAAAAAAAAGAAAGGAAAATTCACACATCGTAGAAAGACCTGAAAACATTTTTTAAAATGCAAATATTTAAATTTGGCAAGCATTTTAGAAGATGCAGTGGGGAAGCTGGAAATGTCAATGTATTTACTTTTAGTAATTATAATGATTTAAATCTTGGTGGAATAATATATTAAAGGGTAGAGATGAATACATTCCCATCATGACTTTTCTAATAAGATCAAAACATTCAAAGTCATTGAAATGAAATCTTAACCCATCTTATTAGGTTCATAGTCCATATAGACATTAGGAGGACAAAGCTCTTTTCCTTTTCAAATATGGAAAGTTATATAATTGTTCCACAGGGTGACTCCATATATGTAGTATATTAAAATGAAAATAATGTAAAACCCTAATTGAAGTTCCTGGAGACAGAAAATAGAAATTGGATCAAGAACCTTGATCGATCAAGAGGATATAATGATGAGGAGAATAATGATGATGATGATTAAGTTACTGTTGTTATCTGTTGTTATTGTTCAGTACTTTCAGTCAAGTCCGACTTTTCATGACCCCATTTGGGGTTTCATTGACAAAGATGCTGGAGTGGTTTGCCATTTCCTTCTCTAGCTCGTTTTACCGATGGGCAAACAGAGTTAAGTGCCTTGCCATCTGAGGCCAGATTTGAACTCAGAAAGATGAGTCTTTCTGACTTCAGGATCAGCACTCTATCTACCCTACCACCTGTTATTATTGTTAATAACAGCAATAATAACAATTTATTGTCCCCAGTTTAATCAGCTAACACTATTGAAATGGTAATGTAGGGAAAGCTTGCTGGTGGGATACTATAGGGTAAAGACTGTATTCTAAATGATTTGTTCATTAAAGCTGGGGTTAGCAATTTTTTACCTCAGCTGATTCCTATTTTACTGTTTCCGTGACCCAAGAAATAAATTGAAAAATAATATGAGAAAAGAGATGTTGTTTGGGTTATGGTGAAATTAATCTGCTGATACAGATTTACAGATCTTTTTTTTGTTTGCTTTGTCATCAGTCCAGTAAACATTTATTAAACAACTGTTGTATACAAAGCACTGTTATGGTGCCAGGCATACAAAGACAAAAATCAAGTATCTCTTACCCTCAAGAAACTTACATTCTACTGGGGGATATAGTACATATATAAATAAAAACATATTGGGTCATTTGAAGAGTTCAGTCATTTTTCAGTGGTGTCCAACTTTCTGTGACCCCACATTGAATTTTCTTGGCAGAAATACGGGAGTGGTTTGCCATTTCCTTTTCCAGCTAATTTTACAAATAAGGAACTGAGGCAAACACGGTGAAGTGACTTGCCCAGGGTCACACAGCTAGTAAGTGTCTGAGACCAGATTTGAACTTAGGAAGATGAGTCTTCCTGACTTCAGGCCCACACTCTATCCACTGTACCATCTAGCTGCCCCGTTTTAATAAAGAAAAGAGTACTAAAAACACCTAAAGTGAGACTAGTAGTAAGATGATGATTGCTTAAGGGAAGCTTTCTATTCTCTGGGAAACAGGCTGACTCCTGTTTAACATAAGAATTGGACTAGGTAATTTCAAATGTCCCTTCATGATTTGATGCTATGTAATTTCAAATGTCCCTTCATGATTTGATGCTATGTGAGTCTATTCCAACGGCCTTTCTCAGTATGCTCTTTCTCGTTCTCACCAAATTGGAAACAAGAGAAGGCTAGTGAAGAAAGGGGAAGAAAATAACCAAAAGATCAAAATCTTTAAAAATGATAAATCCATACCCTTACACCATTCTAAATGACTTCAGGGATTGTGTAGTGGGAATATGTTTTCTCAGAGAAGAGGTTAAACATACATATTTTATTGCAAATATTGTATTTATTATATTTTCATCAGTATATTAATGTGTTTTAAGTACTTTCTGTCCAGTTAATATTATTTGATTTTCTCTTAAGACAACTAGTCATATAAAGTTGCTTAAGAAATTTAATGTCTCATTTTCTTTATGTGAAAAATAAGATGTCTGGACTAGACAATCCAAACATCCTGGCTCTAAAATTACATGAGTCTATGAAATTTTAATTTTACATTGAGGTTAGATTTGGGGGACATCGTTAAGAAGAAAAAATATTTTTACTATTAATATGGCTATATAGAAAGCTCTTATTGGCTTTTCATATAGCTATTCTCTAATAGTATATACATATGTATATATATATATGTATATATATTCAGTCATTTTTTCATTAAGTATTAATGCATTATGCTTTCAGTGATACTTGGAATACTACATCTGATTAGTTTTTTTTTCAAATCAGGAAGACAATTTTCTTCCCATAATTCATCCCAAGAATAGCAACATACCATTGTGTCTTGATTTTCCTTAACCATTAATTTTCATGAAAATTCAGCACATATTTCCTTCAAAAGTACAGTTCTCTGTTCTGGCCCATTGATAGGTCTGTGGCTAAACTCTAGATGACTTATCTGAATATACCATAGTAGTAGAGAAGAAAGTTGGATGATAAATTTAAATATAATTATTTTTACTACAAGTCATCATAATTTATTTGAATTATAAGGGTGTATCAGTCAATATCAGTTAAGGCAATCAGAGTACAGATGGAAATTCCCCTTAATTATTATCTTGTTCAGTCCCTTCATTTTGTAGATATAGGAAGTGAAACCTAGAGAGAAAAGGGAATTTGCTGAAGGTCACAAGACTAGCTAATCAAGTGAAATAATATAGACAAACTATTTTGCAAACTTTAAAGCACCATAGAAGTGTCAATTATTATTACTGTTAGTATTATAGCTAGTATTAATATTCCTTAATCTGCACTACCTGTAGTTTGGGAGACTGTCAATGATTGAAATGAATTGTCATGAATAAATAAAAGCAATGTAATTAATTTAAAATTTTAATTTTCAATTTCATACCATATTCATTTTTCTCCTTCAGACCTTCATAGTATTGAATAAAGGGAAAACAATTTTCCGATTCAGTGCCACCCCTGCCTTGTACATTTTAACACCTTTCAACCTGATTAGAAGAATTTCTATTAAGATTTTGGTTCATTCATATCCTTTTCCAGTGACTTTTTTGAGAGTATTTCTTTTAAAAACCAACTTATACTGAATGAATGGAATTATCTTTTAATCTTCAAATGATGCTTTTTCACTTTGAAACAATCACTTGCTTTAGTTTTTCAACTTGATCGAATCCAGTATCTTTTTAGATGTGCATTGACATATAGACTAAGTCAACATTTAGAGACTTTGCAAATATTTGGCATTGTATATATGTAACTGTATAAAGTGGGAGGAAAGAGAATCTTTGTGGAAAAATATTTTATCAGAGGTTTTAAATTGACATTATTTAGATAATTGTCTTAACTGAATGCATATAATGTATCTAATATGGCTTATAATACTACCTTCCTTGATTCCAACTTACCTTATTCAGCATGCTCATCATGTGTACTATCCTGACTAATTGTATATTTATGACGATGAGTAACCCTCCAGAATGGACAAAGAATGTTGAGTAAGTTTGCCCCCCAAAATGCAATGCCGAATAGTCCTTAATCTGTTCTGAATTAGAATATTCCTTAACCCTTTAGGTAAGTCATTGCCTTGTTGTTTATCTCTCCTTATGCTACAGTATTATAACTGTTAATTTTTTTCACCTTTAAGAAATAAGGATTATTATGGATATCACTGAACTATTCAGAGAGTACTTCATAGGATTTAAGCCTATGATCCTTTGAAACAAGGTGTTCAGAGAGGCTCATCTTCAATTTGGCCATTGGGTGATATATTTTTTGCCTATAATTCTCTAAAACAATGTACTAAGTTATAGAGTAGTTTACAGTCTCCATTGTGGATGGAGTGGCTGCACCAGTGAAATTATAGATTTTTGAGAAACTAACAACATATTCAATAGATTGCCCACCTTTGTCTATGGCTCATTTTAACAGAAAAGATGGACACTACAGAGATCCCATAGAATGTCCTGAGCGTTAAATTACTGCTCTAAGGAAATGGTTTATTTATACAGATTCACACCAATTCCAGCTCCTTTGATCACAGATGTTATGCTATTTTGGGTTGTAACGTTTTTGTGGATACTTGCCTTCAGGTACACTTTCACGGGAATATATACTTTTGAATCACTGGTAAAAATCCTTGCAAGAGGATTCTGTATAGGGCCATTTACTTTCCTTCGTGATCCCTGGAACTGGCTTGACTTCATTGTCATTTGTTTTGCGTAAGTATTATCAATTTTTATTTTGAAATTGCACGTATATATCTCCCATAGATCTTCAAGTTACTTGTATTTAATTCTCAGAACCTGATTGTGAAGAAAAGTAGGAACTTTGCATTATCAATTTTTCATAGCTAAAAGAGTAATGCATAGGTTGATTTTATACATTGTCCAATTTCACATACAAAACTGGAAAATCAGTCTACTGAAAATTTTCACTAAGCACATTCGGGTACCAATAAATGCATTAAAATTTCAGAAGAAAATATTTTAATAAGAAAGGAAGTCTCCAACATAGCATCCCACTGAATCAGTCATTCAGTAATCATTTATGAAGCACCTATGTGCCAGACACTGTATGAGGCATTGGTAAATAAAAAGAAAAAAATATGTAATAGTTGTGGAGTTGTGAGCACAAGGAGCTTACGTTCTCTAGGGGGAGACATGTACACAAATAAATGATAGAAGATATTTTGGGGGAGGATGGGCATCAGTAACAACTGAGGTGAGCTTTAACCTTAACCTCTGTCTTTGTCTTTCTTATTCTAACTCTGTATATTTGTATGCGTACAGATGTATGTATATATGTATATATACGTATGCATGTGTGTCTAGGATGTATCCCATATCTACAGATGTTTAAATACATGTGTGTATATATGTATGTTTATATGTATATGGTATATAGGTTTGAGCTCCCCCAAGCTATTAGTGCTATCCCCCTCAAAATAATTACCCTATATTTATGTTGTAGGTATTACTCTACAGAATGTAAGCAACTTGGGGTCAACTACTGTTTCTTTTTGTGTTTATATCCCCAGACCCTAGTGTAGTGTCTGCCACATAATTGGTGCTTAATAAACATTTATTGATTAATTAATTGATTGGGATACAATGTTGGAGGGTCATCTCCTTATTAAAAGAATTATACATATGTACAGGCATATACAGGCTTATAAATATTTAAGAACTGGTTCTCCTGGATGAGGATGGGGTGAATGTGCTCACAACACACTTAAGTTTTAAAGTTCTTTCCATCACTCTTTTAAGTTTAGAGTTCTAGACAGTTCACAAAACAATAAATCAGTCCCTGATTTTCATCATTTGTCAGTTTCCAAGGTGTAAATGCTCACGTTGGAAATTTAACAGTTGGCCCTTGAAAACTGGTTTGAGCTGGCTTAAGCATATTCCTGCATATAAACATAACAAAATAACAAGAAAACATCTTAATATGTCGTTTCATTTGGAAATGAAAATAGAAAATATATTTAACAGGAATGTATGTACATATGTATCTATATACAGGGTGTTCCAAAAGTCTCAGTGCAGTTTTAAACTATTAAAGAGTGCATACATGTATATATTTATTATCATATATACACATATATACCTACAAAGCATGCATGTTTACACTGTACATATACACATGAATGCCACAGATGCAAAATATTTCTTACATGTTCATGCATATACATGAAAACATGTTATATGTTATATGTATGTACTAACATATTATAATGCATTTATGTGTATGTGTCATACATATAATATGTATCTATATGCATGATACATTAAAATCATGTTATGTGATATTTATATATACACAATGTGTATACACAAACAAGACACCACACATTTTGATATGTGGGTGCATGCATGTTATATGTATAAATATTTTGTGTGCACATGTATACTACATATATATGCATATATATGCATGCTTTCATAGCTTAAAATTGTACTAGATCTTTGGAATATGCTATGTATATTAATAAATATATTTAGTGCCCTATAAATACTACATACACATGCATACATGCATACAGCTTAAAATTGCACTAATATAAAACTTTTGGGACAATCTATATCAATACACACACTCCTTTTTAATATTCTTTCTGTTTTAATTTCCAATGAAACAGTATTTTAAGATGTTCTTTATTGTTATTCTAAATGGTAGCATATTTAGAGTGTCCTTTGTTGAGACTTTTCTCTTTTTAATCAAATCTCATATTTGGAATTTCTTAAAATGTACTAGTACTAAAATACTGAGAATTAATTTTCTTCAGCTCTATCTATTCAGCACAGGAATGGCCATAAAACAGGATATCCTAGCTTTGATATGGTATATTTTTACCGATAAAAATATTTTTCAAGCAAATTAAGTTGTCATATTGTTAGTTTCTTTGCAGCCTATAATTATTCCTATTCAATAAATGTTATGTGGCATATAATTCATGAATAGCTATATGTTCATTTTATCTCTATTAAAATCTATTTCCTTGGTGATAATGAAAGAAACGTCCTTTCTGCTGCATGTAAAATATGACTGAGTTTTTTAAAAAAATGAATTTCAAAAACATAACGATCTCCTGGTGAAAGGCATGGGTAAGTAACATAAACTGTCTAAATTCTGAATAACTCTGGTTTAATTCTACAGGTTTTTAACAGAATTTGTAAACCTAGGCAATGTTTCAGCTCTTCGAACTTTCAGAGTCTTGAGAGCTTTGAAAACTATTTCTGTAATCCCAGGTAAGAAGTGGTTGGTGTGAAGCATTAGGCCCTTCATATCTCCAACTGTGGGTTGTCTTTTTTTGTGTGTGTGTATGAGTGTGTTGTCATTGTGTTTGTGTGTGAACTCCCTTATACAGATATGTGACAGAGTTTGTGGATCTGGGCAACGTCTCAGCGTTGAGAACATTCAGAGTTCTCCGAGCGTTGAAAACAATTTCAGTCATTCCAGGTGAGAGTGCGGTTAAACACCGAGGCTGATTTTGATGTCACTACTCATAATATCTAAAATCAGGAACCAAATAGCTGTAGATTTTTAATGAAAAGCCTTTTCAGTGCACTGGCTTTAGAGTCAAAATCAGCCTTTGAGTTTAATCAGTTATTGCATGAGTTTTGCAGAAGGTATGCAGCCCTTTGGCTTGCATCTCCATTTGAAATTTTCTTTCCTCCCAAAATTCTTTCTTTAATGTATATACATGATTGAAAATTTCAAATAGTTTTCATACTTTAGCTCTTAGTAGAATTATGAAAAACAGGATGGCACAGTATTAGCATGAGGTATTGCATGACATAGTTTTGTCAAGATGCTTTTTCTCTACAAACAACTTCTTAATTGAACGTGTATATGTTATTCACTATTATTACCAGTAAGCATCTTTATTACTGAATCATTAATATATAATTAAAGGGAGTCAGTTTGTTTGAAAAGCATTGACAGGGTGATGTTTTTCTTTACCTCAGTTTTGTGATGAAGCATGAACAAGACAGTTACTCTTCTTGGTATTCTAACAAGCATTAGTGGACTGTCTTACCCCTCATGTAATCAAGCCCTCACACTTAACACATAGACAGATATTAAGTTAAACGTTCCCCTGTCTGACCTGTTCATGTGAACAAGATGGCTTCCCTGATAGGGGAATACTGCATGTCTCCTACAACTTGTGGGGGAGAATGAGTGTGTAACGTTATGGTAGGGTACTTTATTTTACTATCATTAACACCTCTGTTTTCAGGCCTGAAGACTATCGTGGGGGCCCTGATCCAGTCGGTGAAGAAACTTTCTGATGTCATGATCCTGACCCTGTTTTGCCTCAGCGTGTTTGCTCTCATTGGGCTCCAGCTGTTCATGGGAAACCTGAGGCATAAATGTGTGCGATGGCCTCTAGAGGATAAAAATATAACCCTAGAAAACATTAATGTTCTTTGTGAAACAGAGAATTACAGAAGTAAGAAGTGCTGCTATTATTGAAATAAGACTAAAAGCATGTTTTCTGATGGGAAATAGGGAAATGCTGATTTTCTACCACGGTCAAAACTGTTCAGATGAATTGACTAGTCCAGTCAACTCGTCTGTGTGTGTCTATGTGTGGGTGTGTTTTACTTCCATTGTATGTTCGATGATAAAAATCAGCCAGGCAGTGTGGTGCAGTGGAAAGACACTGGCTCTGAAAGAAGACAACTTGGTTTCAGATCCTGCCTTTGGGATGTCTCCTCTTGTTTCCTTTCTTCCTCTTGCTCTCTTCCTTCTCCCTCTTTCCTCTCCTTTTTCTTCTCATTATTATTTTCATCATTATTGTAATACTTGAGAGGCAGCTGGTGGCACAGTGGATAGAGGACAAAGCCAAGAATCAAAAGACCTGAATTCAAATCTGGCCTCAGACATTTAACTAGTAGTGTGACCTTGAGCACAACTCACTTAACCTCTGATTTCTTCAGTTTCTTCAATTGCAAAATAGGGGGAGTAATAACCCCAGCCCATATCTGAGGTTATTTTGACCATTGAATGAGATATTTGTTTAAAAAAACAGCACAGTGTCAGGCACATACTATGCAGTATGTTATTTTCCCCCCTTCTCCCTTTTCCTTCCCTTCTCCTCTTTCCTCTAACCCTCTCCCCCACCACCATTAGATGTTTTATCTTGAGCAAGTCCCTGGGACTCCATTTCATTTTGTCCTCTATAAAATGAGAGGGTTTCACTGGATGTCCTTCAAGGGCCCTTCCAATTCAAAGGCTATAATCCTGTAATTTCAATTACATCATCAGAACAGTGATTTGGTCTTTTACGAATGGAATTTGTACATGCAAAGGGCAGCCTCAGAATGCTGACAAGAGAAAAGCCCCCAAACCCCAACCAAGTACCAAAGAGTTATAGTCAAGATCCCACAAGACTTAGCAGCTGCTGATATAAAGGATTGGTTTGGGGAATATGATATCCCCCAAAACAAAAGATTTAGGCATACCACCAAGAATGGTCTCTCAGACAAAACTGAGTATAATTCTGTAGGGGATAAATAGATATTTAATAAAATAGAGGATTTCTAAGCATCCCAAATGGAAAGACCAGAATTGAGTAGACACTTTTGAATGAAAATTTAGGAGTCAAGAGAAAGGTAGAAAGGTATACACATTTGATCAATTAGAAGGAATTATTTCAGGATGAATTATTTATATGCTAATAGGGGAGAAGAAACAAAGGTCTTCTCAATCCTGTTATCTGTAGAGAAAGTTAAATAAGTTAGGTAGAGGGCCAGAGGTGGATTTGTTTTATCTATCTATCTGTCTGTCTATTTGTCCATCTATCTATCCATCCATCCATCTATCTATCTATCTATCTATCTATCTATCTATCTATCTATCTATCTATCTATCTTTTATTTATTTGTATTTTGATTTCTTAGGAGAAGGCAGAAAGTAATAAGGGACTATCCTGAGAAGGAAATGAGGAGAAAGGGAGAAAACTCACTAATTCACATTATAGAGACACATGACAAAGACTATTTAAATATGGAGAAAGGGTTATAGGGAAGAAACATAGTATGAACTTTATTTTAATTTGAAACAAACAAAGAAGATTGAACATACAGACACATTTAGACACGGAGCATATTTCAAAAATACACTAAATACAACAAATACGTGGAGAGATGGAGGGAAGTTTAAGAAGAAAGGCAAGATAGGTCAGAGAATAATAAAAAGAAAAACGGACTTCAGCTTGAAAAGTGGGGGCCTTGATGGGAATAAAAGGAAAGGAATAAAGAGTTAGAACTCTTCCTCCCTGTATGACTTTAATCAAGTTACAAACTCAGTAGGCCTCATTTCCTCATCTGTAAAATGAGGGGGTTGGAATTAAGTGGTTCCTAATTTGTCCCTCAAGCTCTCATTTAAAACTTTAAATGCATAATTGATTGATTCGCTGCCTTAATATTCAAGATACTTTTTGATTTGAGAGACTGTCAGGTAAAGATGTTTTATTTAGATAAGTTCTGTAGTCCACAAAAAGAAGACAATTTTGAATTTATGGTCTATAAAGGCAATGTGCTGTTAGAACAGTGGATCAACTTCTTTGAATAGTATTCAACATACCATCCCTCAGAATGTTACTCCATTTAAAAACTCATCAGATTTTGCCTTTTTTTTTTTAATTTTCTGTTCTTTTCCTCAGACACCCAACATCCCAAAATGTGATCAGTTTGCCTTTAACAGCAAGCATGCTTTACTTCGCACCTAGTAGTTTGACAGTGATATAAACAAAAACAAAACAAGTAAACAAGAAGAAAACAGCACCAGCAGCAAAACGACTAAATTTATAAAATTAACATTCAATGAAAATATTTAAGAAAGCCAAAAAACTATCTGGTTAAAGCATGATGCTAATGTCAGTCCCAACTATGGTTCCAGTATGGACTGGTTAGCTTTTGAAAAGAGGGAAAAAAATCTACAGAATGTGGACTTCCTCTTGTGTTCTAGTTGTTGTTCTGTTTTTTTCATCCATGTCTGAATCTCTGACCCCATTTGGGGTTTTCTTGGCAGAGATACTGGAGTGTTTTGCTATTTCCTTCTCCAGCACATTTTACAGATGAGGAAACTGAAAAGTGACTTGTCCAAGGTCACACAGCTAGTAAGTGTGTGAGTCCAGATTTGAATTCAGGAAGATGCATTTCCTAACTCCAGGTGCAACCCTCTATCTACTGCACCATCTAGCAGTCTATCCATTGCACCACCTAGTTGCCATGTGTTCTGGTTACAAATATCATAAGGTCCTAGTTTACATAAACTAGATTTATATCTAAGATGTACTGAATTTTATAGATGAAGAACTGAGGCCTAAAAGAGGTTAAAGTGGTTTACTGAAGGTCACAGATTAAGTTACTGAACCAGGATATGAACATGGATCATAGGTGCATTGATTTAGGGCTGGGAGTGACCAGAGAGGTTACACTCTCACTCTAGTGTCCTTTCCACCATACCACGATGAATCCATACAAACCTTTATCATAACGAACTGGTAAGAATACTTAAATAGCTTGAAGCCAGACCATACCATTTTAACATATTTTATCATATTTCCACCAGATCTGTGATCCCTAGAAATGAAAGAAGACATAAATAACTAGCAAACAATACATAGAGGGCAAAAGAAACTGTGAAAATGAATATGTGTGTGTGTGTGTGTGTGTGTGTGTGTGTGAGAGAGAGAGAGAGAGAGAGAGAGAGAGAGAGAGAGAGAGAGAGAGTAAGAGAGGGAGAGAATGTGTGTATTCTTGACTTGAAAGGGAACATTCTTGGTTGCAGTACACTTGTTTAAAATAAGCTTTTTGTTTTGTGCTTGAGAAAATTTACTTAATACAATCCTTTGACACTTCAATCATATCTTCAATTAACATTTGATTGCTCTTCTATATTAGAAACATTGTGCAAGACAGTTTCTTTTCCTTCAATATTTCTGATTCTGTTATTTCCTCTGAGAAAATTTTCTCTGGATGTCTACATTTCCTTCTTAATTCTCCATCCACTAACTTTCCATGTGTTGGTTCTTGAATGTTTAAATAATAATGTTTAAGTGGTTAATTTTTAATTGTGATCTTCTAACTGAATCCAAACTAGAAAATGGGGCTTCATAGAAGAATATTTTTCACAATGATTTGTTCAAAATAGACCAAAATATTTCTTAATTATGATTAGGGCTTCTCTAGTAATCTAGGTTTGTTCAATTTTAGTCATTCCCCACTCATTTCATTGATATTTTAGGTTTGACAGGTTTTTGTGCAAGCATATTTGTATAAAATTTGTAAGATATGCTTAGCTTCCACTAAATGAATTTTGAGTTTATATTGCATAATCCTTTGTCACTCATTTATTTTATGCCTTAAATATCATTAAGGCCAGAAAGATTTGATGCACTATCAAAGGGATCGAGTTTTTTTTGTCTACTAATAGATCACTTTGCTGTATCCAACTCTTCCTTTTTTCATTGAAAAGAAATACTGAAGTTAATTTTAAAAAATCATTAAAACTCTCATGGGACCAATGATAAATGATATTCTTAATGACTATATTGTTTAGGGATTATTATAAAAATGCCCTGATCAACTTTAATTACTCTAATTTCTCTGACTCATCATTTTTCCATTTAATCAAGGAGCTTTATTTCAATGATAGATTTGCTGATAATGATCAGCAATTACTTTTTCTCATTCTAGAATATTTATAGTCCACTTAGTCCTATATTGCAACTTAAATTCACACTACTTGAACTTATAATTATGTAAAATGTGGTCATTGGTTGCAGCTCAATGGAATATGCAGCATGAATTTGTAATTTACCTCCTAACTACCTGGTTTGCAGATGCCTAGAATTCCACATTTAGAGTTTCATTCCTTTTGTATTAAACTAAACAGGGGATTTGGACCTAGTTAAATACATTTGGAAGAAATAACAATAAGACACCCAGAGAAAGAAACATGGAGTCTGAATGCAAATGGAAGCATACTTTTTGCTCTCCTCTTCCTTTGTTGTTTTATTTTATTGCTTCATTCTCATGATTCCTCCAATTAGTTCTAATTGTTCTTTACATCATGACTAATGGGAAAATATGCTTAACATGAAACTGTCCCGGGTGGGGGGAAGAAGTGGGAGGGGAAGAACATTTAAAACTTGAAATCTTATGGAAGTGAATGTTGAAAATTAAAATAAATAAAATTTAAAAAAAATAAATAACAGTAAGCTTTATCAGTCATCTATAGTAAGCTCATGTCATTTCTCTTGCTAAAAAAATTTTCAATGGCTCCTCATTGCTTAAGGAACTAAAATACTTTAGCCTACTGTGAATGAAATGATCAGATCCTTTCTAGAAAATAGAGTGTATATCTATCTATCCAACTGTCTGTCTGTCTGTCTGTCTATCTATCTATCTATCTATATCTATATCTATATCTGTATCTATCTATCTATCTATCTATCTATCTATCTATCTATATAATGTCTTTGACTATAGCCATATAGATGTTTCTACATCTATAAACGAGGCAGTGTAGCATAGTGGTGGTCTTAAGACAAGATAAGTTCTGAATCCCACTCATACACCCAGAGAGAGTCACTTAGCTTCTCACTGCACGAGATAAATCTCTAAGACTATTATTGCCAAAATAGCCTGTATAACCAATATAACCATTTTTGGTAGAAGGGATTTTCATACCTTTGAAAGTTTATTCTCATTCTCTGTCATGCCTCTTTAATCTCAAATATGTATGAATACACATATAAATATATATTTATATTTTATATATTATTTATTATATATAAAATTAATATAATACAATATTATTATGACATTACATTGTATATATACATTATATTATATAACATATATTTTATTATATTATATGTTAATTATATATAATTTAATTATATTGTGCATTATTATATTATATAATACATGTTATATATTATATAATATAGTATATATTGTATATAATACAAATTATATGTAATTTATCTATTATTACATCATATATGACATGTTGCGCATATAGCCATGTGTGCATGTATGTGTGCATATATGCACACACATATGCACATACATACATGATAGGGGGTAATTTGAAAACACAGGGACTGGAGCTGTGAATTCATTGGTGTAGCAAACTATGTGCATGTATGTGTAATAGAGAGACTGTGTTCACATTTATATGTGCATATGGACATGTATATATTCAAACAAAAAGTGCATATATTATGTGTATATGTATGTTTATATATGCAAATATATATACACATATCCATACACACAGACTTGAGGAAAGAGGCTAAGGAATAAATATCACCAAAGAGGAAAAAGGAAAAAGGAATGATGTCACAACTTTAGAAAATAAAACTTTGCCAGTTTCACGTCTTCCTTCTTACATCTCCCATTTCTGTACTTTTATAACGTGTTAACTCTGTATACTTATTTAGTTAAGGTACTTTTTTATATTCTTCCTAAACAGGCTATTTCTATCATTTGGAAGGACAAAGGGATGCTCTTCTTTGTGGTAATGGCACTGATGCAGGGTAAGTGATGAATTTTCGCTGTACAAGCTACAAGTGGACATACAATGCAAATCAATCTGGGGACCAGAACCATTGTCCAGGTCCCATTTTATTTCATATATCTAAGGTTCTAATAAATGAAAGTTATAATAATAATAAAATTGCATGCTTTAAAATTATACACATAGGCAAAAGTTGAAATATGATATAAATTATCTCCTTTAGTTTATTGGGATTTTTTTTTCCTTCTGCCCTTTACTTGGAGGGCTGATAATGTGGGGCAGAATCCTTTTGTTAGAGTAAACTCTGAATGGTAGTGATATGGTTTCAGACTCTCCTGGAAAGAAATGGGATGGTGTCTAGGATAACTATAATTGCTCCTTCCACTCCCTGGCCCTTCATGTATTACTTCTGTGGACCTGACTGCCATAAAGCTATGCTTACTCTAAACTAATGGAAAGCATGGCTTTGGGTTAATGACATTTACAAATAGAGACCATGGTGTTATGCTTTTTCCATCTTATTATATACATTGTACAGTGTTCTGTGCATAGAAGGCACTGAATCAATTTGTTGAATTGCCTGCTACTAGATGCCTCAGCACTTGAACATTTGGCAGTCAAGGACAGCTTAATAAAAATTTAATGCATTTCAATACATTAAGTCTGGTACCAGGCCTATAGGTGAATCCTTTCCAGCTTTGTGTAAGAAAAACCATCCAGCTTATGCTGGAGACTGCTGGCCTAGCCTTCAAGAAAGTTTAAAGGCTTGACAAGAACCTTCATGAGGCAAATTGATTATTTGAACCTCTCTGTGAGGCATGGATCACCCTCAAAACTAACTCACTCTGAGCCTTTTGCTATTAAGTTTCTGCTTTGGATAAAGGCATATTTATTTAATTCTATGTAGCTGTTAGCAGATTTCTAGCTTTGGATAGAGGTTTTGCATTTGTATCCTAATTCTGAGATATTCATTACCTGTGCCCTGAACATATTCTGAAGACGGTCTAAAATTTAATACTTCTTTTTTACTTGTAGCCAGTGTCCAGAAGGATATATGTGCGTGAAAGCCTGTACCAATCCAGATTATGGCTATACAAGCTTTGACACTTTCAGTTGGGCCTTCTTGGCTTTATTTCGATTAATGACTCAAGATTTCTGGGAAAATCTTTACCAACAGGTAAGAGCCTAGTGAAGCAAACACTGTATTTTGTGAATGACATAACAGGGAGAAGGAATTGATTCCCCTGATTGAATTCTTAAGGAAGGTACTTTATGAAATCTTAAGGCAGAATTTACACTCTTAATAATATCTCATTAAAATTAGGCTGGTTTTACTTTCAATACTAATGAGCTGAATGAAGAGTTTTGTCTAAGTTCTAATTCTTAGAAAAAGGAATCTGCTTCTCAACCCTTTTAAGGCTTCTGTGATTTTCAAGTCTTTCAAATTCTTAATTTTCTCCTATCTTAGTGTAACATAGTTGGAAACTGACTAGTAATGGAATTTAAGAAATTGAATATCTACTGTGTCATTTAGGCAGTGAGGTAGGGAGGACCTGAGTTGAAATCCTGCCTCAGACACTTATTAGCTATGGGATCACAGTCTCAGTTTCTTAATCTGTAAAATGGATGTAATCATAGCACCCGCCTCTGAGATAATATTGTAAAGTGTTTATAAACCTTAAAGTGGTATCCAAATGCCAGCCATCATTATTATTAATAACATCAATATTAGTAAACAGGGTCCCCACAGTGCACTTTTGAAATGAAGGTTAATGTTATATAAAATGGTAAGGAAGCAAAAAATCACCCACTCCCATCCCTCATCCAGTACAGTTGCATCAAAACTTAGGTCAGTAATAATGAGTGGGAAACTTTAGTTAGCTTCACCCTAATTATAGCTCTGAGTTTCACCATAAGTGGTAATTCCAGTTTTACTTTGATAGTATAACTTATAACAAAGTGAAGGAATAGAAGATAATATGACAAGTTGTTGACAAAATCCACTGTAATGCACAGTGAAAGGAAGTTAAATTATTATTATTATTGTTGTTGTTATTATTATATTGGTTTTAAGGAATTACCTTCTTAATACAGTCCAAATAAGTTGCTAACTATTAAGTGAATGACACCCTCCCCTTATATGGAAAGTCTAAATCTAAAATATTTGGACATTCAATTCTGTAAGCACCAAGACAGACCAGAAGTTAGATTCTGTCTTAGGATTCTCAGATTCATTCAAGATAGATTTGAACCCTAGTAATGGCCCCAAATGAATTTGTCAGTCGAGTGGGAAACTAGGCAGTCTTATCTACTGAGTACCATCTTTTACATTATTGCCACATGATTACTTAATAAATTTCTACTTCTCATTTTACTTTAGTGACTAGAAAGGGTTCTTATAACTTCCAAAATTTACATAATGGAATCCTAGGAAATAGTTTACTTGCTGGGACGATCTAGTTTATTATCTAATATGTTATATACTAAAAAATTCCAGCTAATTTGGATTTGGAAAAGCTTTAGTAAAAACAGTAAACAAAAGCATTCTGACATTTTGTATACACTGCATATCTGGTGTGTTAGAGACCTAAATAACATGAAAGTATTAATTAGTCGCTATTATTATCTCCTTCGTATTTGTATATTTCTAATGAATTAAACTTTGTAGGATACAAGAAGTAACATATAAATCAGAATAATATAAATTTGTTTTTTGTGTTTTTGCTACACTTATGATGTCATTTGTGTAGGGAGCTCCTAGGGAGGAATTTTCTTTGTCTATAAACATTGGTAACTTCTTTTTAAATTGCAGTCTTAAAAATTACCTGGGATACTAAGAGATTAAGCACATAGGTAGGGATAAGTGACTGGGTTAAGATCACGTAGGCAATGGATATATTGGATGCTATAACTGAACTCAGGTCTTCCCAACTCCGAAGCCCAATCTCTATCCATTATGCCATGCATGCTGTGTTGTTTGTTTTTTTATGTTTAATATAGTTCTGTTTCAATTTAATGTTATGTATAAAGTAATTATTAGGAATTGAATGCTAATTCAAGATTAGGATCAAAATGTTTTTTCTTCCTGACATATAGGCTACTATAGTTAACTCTGTAGTACTAATTATTAGGTACACAGATGTTTAAAAACAAAGTTATAGCATAGAAGGAGGTTTCTGAATGTATAGATGCATTGGGGAGCGAAAAGAAAATCATCAGCAAATACAATTAAGATTTTCCATTGAAAAGAGGGGACAAAATGAATATCTCATTACTGGGTTTAATGTTGTCTATTTATCCCCGTTCCCTATTTGTGTGCCCTGTTTTTTCAAACCATTTAGTTTTGTAAATAGTAATGAATCATCAGTAACCATACGCCATCTTTTAGATGTTTCCATGCCTTCTCTCCCTCAACTTATACCTACCTAATTACCCACCATTAAGATGTTTTTATAAATTTTTTGTTCAGTCATTTTTTAGTCATGTCCAACTTTTTATGACCCATTTTGGAGTTTTCTTGGCAAAGATACCAGAGTGGTTTGCTGTTTCCTTCTTTAGCTCATGAGGACACTGAGGCAAACTGGGTGAAGTGACTGGCCCAGGTTCACACAGCTAATAAATGTCTGAAGCTAGATTTGAACTTGGAAAAATGTCTTCCTGACTCCTGGCCCAGCATTCTATCCACTCAGCCACCAACCTGCCTGTGAAATGGTTGCCAAGTACATTTTAATCTTGTTCCTTCCTCACTCATGCTGTGAGTTTGATACATACTTTGATCACCTCTCTCTAACCTGGAGAAGAATCTCGGAATCTAGAATTATGCCTGAGTACAGTATTCATATGAGAGGTGGGCACATGTTTGTGCTATAGACATTTTTGTTTTAGTACTAGTAGTTTTTCATTGAGATATTCAATTTATTCCTGGAAAAGCACCTACCATAAAATCATAACATATTAAACTGCTTGTGAATGCATTGATTTTCTTCTCTTTATGGTTAAAAATGACTTTGCTAACAAAACTTTGCTATATTAGGTTCTATACCTAGTAGAACGTAATTTCCTTGAGGGCAGAGCATGTCTCATTTTTGTGTTTGTCTCTCTAGTGCCTTATACACAATAGGTACATAATGCATGAATTCTAAATGGGTTATAAATGGAACCTAAATAGAATGACTCTGTTTTTTTTCTCCTCCTCCAGACCTTACGTGCTGCTGGGAAGACTTACATGATATTTTTTGTCGTGGTGATTTTCTTGGGCTCATTTTATCTGATAAACTTGATCTTGGCTGTAGTTGCCATGGCCTACGAAGAACAGAACCAGGCCACCATCGAAGAAGCTAGGCAAAAAGAGTTGGAATTTCAGCAGATGTTAGAGCGGCTTAAAAAAGAGCAAGAGGAGGCAGAGGTATCATGGATCTCACTTCAAAAGCTTCATAGAAATAAAAGTCTGAAAAGTTACTCCCAGAGCTGCTATTCCCTGATTCCCCAAACAAGATTTAACTAATGGCTTCCTTCTCCTAAACTGAATTGTAACTCATACTGTGTTTGAAGCACAATTTGAAGGAAACAGGATGTTTTAGAGAAAGACTCACCTCTCCCCAGTTTCCAGCTACCCTGATTAGAGTTAAGGTCACTTGAGTCCATTTGTCATTGAGCTGTCGAAGTGGTCATCCTAAGCGCAGGTCTGACCATGTTCCTCCCCTCCCCTCCCCTCCCCATTTCACTAAGATCCACTGGCTCCCTGTCACCTCCAGGATCAAATGCAAAATCTTCTGCTTGACATTCAGAGTCTTTCATAACCTGCCCCCCACTCTTTTTTACTCACTATAAGCCTCCTCCCTCACCAACATCACCCCTTATTTCTCTTCTGCCAATGACACTGGCTTCCTTTTGATTCCTCTAAAATGAAACTTCATCTCCTGACTCCAGGCAGATTCACTTACTATCCCTGCATTCATGGAGTGTTCTTCCTCTTCACCTCCACCTCTTGGCTTCCCTGTCTTCCTTCAAGTCCCAGCTAAAAAGAAGCTTTTCTCAATCCCCTTAAGTTCTAGGGCATTTTCTCTGTTATTTCTAATTTGTCTTGTATATAGCCTATTTGTACATACTTGTTTGCAGTTTGGTTGTAAGGTTCTCAATGGTAGGAACTGTCTACATTTCTTTATATAAGAAATTCATAGCACAGAGCCTAGCGCACAGTAGACACTTCTATTTATTTTTTCATTATTTATTAATTATATTATTATATATTACAATTAATATTAATATTTGTTATTGACTAATAAATGTTTATTGGTTAATTGATTGATTAACTGAATAATTGCCAAGGTACTTCCTGCCTTCTAGGCACTTGGGACTTAAAATTCGTAGCAGTTGTTAATTAAAAGTTCTAAGATTTCCTTAAGGACCACAGATACCTTGATCTGCCATTATGAATTTCTATTATCAGTTAATTCCAGACTTTACATTATTTTATTTTTCTTAATACCGATGCCTCATTATGTGTACTAGAAGTATGATAGGAATTTAACTTGTTTTACTGAATACATCGTTATTAGCTAGAGAAAAACTTTCTATATCCTACAAATGTGATTCAATACAATTATACAGCTAACAAACTGTTGAGCACTCAGTTGTATTATAATACTAGTACAGTTTGTTGGAAACAGGATGCAGTGTATCATTTATACAACAAAAATGTGATTGTAGCCCACGTTATAATCCAATCCCCAGTAAAATCCTATTCTGGTGCCCAGTTTGGCACACCAAAAGAACACTAGGATCCAGCAACAAGAGTCCAACCTCCGGTAAGCCCCACACCCCTTGAAAGATGCTGAGGTACAGATCTAGTGATGGACATGTATCTGTTGTTTGAGGACCAAAGTAGCTAAATTTGAAGATGAGGTTAATCGTCTGGTTGGCTGTGGGGCGCTGAGTCTTTGGGCCACTGAAACTCTCAGAGATCATCCAGTAAATCATGGGAAGATCTTTTATTTCATGACAATGAAATTTTAAAACACCATGAGGACCTGAAGACCTGAGAGAGGAAACATAGTTCAGTAGAAAGATCAATGGCTGTAGAATGAGAGGACCTGGGTTCAAATCTTACCTCTAGCACTTATTAACTATGTGACCTTGGGCAAGTTATTTAGCCTTCCTGACCTCAGTTGCCTCTTCTGTAAAATGAAGTGATAAGAGTGGATGGCCTCTGTCATCCTATCTAACCTGTGTCTCTATGATTCTATGAGAGAGAATAAAATCCTTATTGTATGGAGCTGGCATATTTATAGTGTAAAGATTACTAAACATGGTATAAGACCTGGCTTCTAATTCTGCCTCTGATATCCCTGAGCTGTATGACATTGGGAAAATCACTTCATCTCTCTAAAGCCTCAGTTTCCTTATTTGTAAAATGGGAAGATAACACTGTAGTATGTACCTCATAAGTGTGTTAAGGGATGGGAATGAGGATCAAATGAGGAATTGTATGTAGTTCATAGACTTTAAAGCACTATACGAATGTCAGGTAGGTCAGACAGGTAAATGGCACAGTGGACAGAGCCCTTACCAGAAGTCAGGAAGATCTGAGTTCAAATCCCACCTCAGAAACTTACTAGCTCTGTGACCCTGGGTAAGTCACTTAATTATTGTCTGTCTCAGTTTCCTCATCTGTAAAAATGGGCATAATAACAGCACCTACGTCTCAGGGTTGTTGTCAGGATAAAATAACATTTGTAAAGTGCTTCATAACCCTTAAAGGGCTATATAAGAGTTAGCTATTATTATTACTGATTTTTTGAAAACATCTTTGTGTTGCTTCTGTTTACTTCATCTCCTCTTGAACTCACAGGCAATAGTAGCAGCAGCAGATGAGTATGCAAGTATTGGTGGAGGCAAAGTTAGGGGACTTTCAGAAAGTTCTTCTGAAACATCCAAATTGAGTTCAAAAAGTGCTAAAGAAAGGCGTAATCGAAGGAAGAAAAAGAATCAGAAGAAACAGTCCAATGGGGAGGAAAAGAGAGACAATGAAAAATTATCTAAATCTGAATCAGATGAGAGTATCAGGAAGAAAAGCGTCCATCTTGGTGTTGAAGGACATAGACTGTCTCGAGAAAAGAGGATGTCTTCTCCCAATCAGGTAGCACCTACTTAATCATTCATTCATTGATCAACAAATGTTTATTATATAACTATTCTGTGCAAGCACTAGAAATACAAAGATCAAAAATGGTACAGTCTTCACTCTCAACTATCTTACATTCTGCCATTGTTGATGGACCATGTATGCAGATAAATGTCTGTGAACAAATAGAAAATTTAAGCAAAGTATTCTGGAAAAAAAATTGAAAAGAAACAGAATACTTGAACCTGGTATCATAAGAAACTGGTTCATGAAAGTGATGAGTTCTGAGCTGGGCCTGGAAGTATCTAAACACAAAGAGACAAGGATACAGTTTTAGATGGATGTTAGACACAGGGAATGACCTGCACAAAAGCCAGACTGCCATGCCAGGTCAGGGGCCAGCTACTCATCTGGTTTGGCTAGGATGTGAATATGTGAAGCGGAATGATGAGAATTAGGCTGTAAAAGCAAGTTGAAATCAGACTGCAGAGAGCCTTACATACCAGATTAATGAGTTTACTTGTTATCCTATATGTAATAGGGAGGCATTTATAGTTTTTTGAGTTGGGGAATGACATAGATCTGGTCATTAGGAAAATGATTTGGGGGAAGTATTGTACAAAGATGTATTGAGGAGGGAATAGATTGAAGGCAGAAATATAAGATAGAAAACTACTGCTGTAGTCCAGGTGAGAGATAGTATGAACCGAATTAGGATGATGGCAGTATGAGTCCCTAGAAAGAAGAAGATGCATGTGAAAAAAAAAATTGTGGAAGAAGAATTGAAATAATCGGGCAGCTGATTGGCCATGGAAGGTTAGAGACAGGAAAAGTCAAAGATAATTGTGGTTTCCAACCTGGATGACTAAAAGATAGTGGTACCCCTTCCCCTCCCCTTCTTTCTGTCTCTCTCTTTCTCCCTCTCTCTCCCTCCTCTCCCTTCTCTCTCTCTCTCTCCCTTTCTCTTTCTTGCTTTCTCTCTCTCTCTCTCATATCACCCTCAAAGAGCACACAATCCAACTGAGTAGGAGAAAAAACACATTAACTTAAGAAAAGTTTAGTAGAAACATCCATAAGATGACTGTAACAAGGCAATACATGATTACAAAATGAGTGGTATGGACAATGTATTTCTAGTACAGAAGGAAAGGCTGCTTTGAATTGGGCTGATCAGGAAAAACTTCATGGAGCTGAGTTACAAGAATTGTTTTTTTAAACTCAGAGACTATGTTATATTAAGAGGAACCTGAGATTTGAAGGCAGAGAACTTGAGTTTAAATCTGGAATCTGCCACTTCATGGTGTGTGGCATGAGTAAGTAATTTAAACTGGTGTGTCATCTGCAAAAGGAAGAGACTGGACCAAATGATCTCTGAACTCTCTTCAAGCTATAAATTTATTTCTAAGAGTTGTTTCCTAGACCTAGCTAAAAAGATTTCTGATTTTGGACCTTTCTTTTTCATAATTTGGTGAACAAGGATGTGTTCTTTATGTCAGCAATTTTAGTGATAAAAATTATGTGTGTATATGTATGTATATGTATATATATGTATATGTGTGTATGTATATATATATGTGTGTGTGTATATATATATATATATGTATAGATAGATAGATAGATACATAAAATTTTAAGAGCTTCAGAAATACTTGTTGGTATTTGCTTCTCTTTCAGTCTCCCCTTAGCATCCGTGGCTCCTTGCTTTCTGCAAGACGCAGCAGTAGAACAAGCCTTTTTAGCTTCAGGGGTCGAGGAAGAGATATTGGATCCGAGACTGACTTTGCTGATGATGAGCGCAGTATTTTTGGAGACAATGAAAGTAGAAGAGGCTCTCTGTTTGTGCCACACAGGCACAGAGAACGACGGAGTAGTAACATCAGCCAAGCCAGTAGGTCTCCTCGGATGCTTCCAGTGAATGGCAAGATGCACAGTGCCGTGGATTGCAATGGTGTGGTGTCCCTGGTTGATGGTCCTACAGCCCTCATGCTGCCTAATGGACAGCTTTTGCCAGAGGTGATAATAGATAAGGCAACTTCTGATGACAGTGTAAGAAAGTTTTGAATATTCCAGGCATGACAGGCCAATTACTATTGCATCAACTGATTACTCTGCTGATTGGGCCTTCTTGAGAATCATCACTGTGCACAATCCCAGGATCTTGCAATGCCTATATTAGCCCTCAGTCTTTCACTAAGCCCCATAGTTCTTAATTAGACAATTCAGCATACTTATAAAATAGAACAATATAAATATGAGATAAAACAAAATATTTATCAAATGTCTAAATGGCAATTTAATGATGAGGAAGGGAAGGTAGAGAGTCAGACTTGTGGTTTCATCAGTATGGGAACTTCCAGTGTGGAAACTCCCTTTACTTATGCAGATAAGCAGTTTGTTAGGTATAATCATAGAGAGTTGCATGGGAACACTGAAAAGTTAAGTGACTTATCCACAACCACACAGCTAACGTGTGTCAAAGGTGGAACTTGAATCTATGTCTTCTTGACCTCCAGGTCGACTATTATGCCATATTACCTCTTTAGATATTTAAAATTTAGGATCATACTACTTCATGATAATATGAAAGTGGAATATCAAAGTGGAAAAGGTTTACTGAATTTAGTTAGAAGATCTAGATTCAAGATCTGGCTGTGACACAAACTGTGGTCAAGTCACTTAATTTATCAAAATCTCTCCATCTGTCAGGTGGGGATGATCATGTTTCTATGACTTCACAATTTTTTTGTGAGGAAAGCACTTTAAAAACCTTATAGTGCTATCAAAATGTGAACTATTATTATTAGTGAAAAACATCTAATGCTAATGCCATCAGAAGATAGCCCCTCATAGCTTTTACCTTTGAAAAAGGAATTTAAATCATTTCCCAGCTTCCCAATGTCTTTATTTCATTTCTGGTTTCTACCACTTATGACTAAGAATTTGATTGCATTAGAATCTCCCTCCAGGAAGAAATTTCCTTCCCGTGAAACATTCCAGTGCATGATGTAATGCATTGTTCCCCCTAAAAAATAAGATATAAGCATTTTCCTCTAGAGTTTTCTAATTGAGAAGACCCAAGAGTGAAATAATTAACTATAACGCTCTATAGCTCTGAGAACTACACAGTACATCATTAAATATCAGCAATAACTTTGAACAAGAAAACAAAACTTTGCTACATGTTAGTAAATGGTGTTACATTAACAAGGAACCACAGATATATCTAGTGACTTTATCACCACATGTGTTATCAGATTGCAATATTCACATGTTCAAATGGCTTATTATACATTTTTGTCAATTTAAAAGAAAATGTAAATATGCCATGCTCAAAACAGTATTATATTTTCCTTATGGTTGCTTTTAAACTTTAACACTATTAGTAAAATGAATCAACTAAACATTGATTCATTTGACCTTAAAAATAATACCATGAGTTTATGAGTATATTTTAGGTAGAAAATACCCTGAATGCTTGCATGATATGGCTTATGGTAGCTCTCTTTATCACATTATTTTAAATGCCCAATGTCAGACTTTTTTGGTTTGTTGTATTTTTTTTATTTGGCTTATTAGGATGGGCACAACCTCTAAAATTTAAAATTAGTCTTACTTATAATTGTATGAGATTATCTTTTTGTTATAAGCAAATTACAAATTATTTTCCTTATAAATCTTCATTTTATGAAAAAATAAGTCCTATAAAATTATCATAAAAGAAAAAATATAGGGAACTAGGAGGAAGATATTCTGTAGCTCCAATGAAGAATACAATGAATAAGAAAAGTCTGGCATGGTAGACTGCTTAGCTCTGAAAGTGCATGAGAAAACAACATAACCTTCCTGCTTTAATCATGATCTGGATAGAAGAAAATCTGTATTAACACAAGGAGATGATTTGAAACCTTTATTACCACTAAATTGTACAATTTTTGAAAGTTTAGCTGAAGAGTTATGTAAATAGAGAGATCTCTGATACCTTTCTTCTCTATAATTCTGTAGCTGAATTCATAGAACCACAGCCTGAAGTTTTCCTGTCTGCTCAGTTGCTTGGGTTACTCAGCCCGAATAGGCTTACTTGACTCTCTACATGGATAATGCATGTAATTGTAGTGCATCATATATCTTTAAAAGACCACTTTCTTGTCTGCAAGGATGGATACTAAGATTCAGGCTTAGCTATATACTGCTCAAGCAACCCCTCCAAGAGACAGACCAAAAAGTCACAATAGCCTTTATGAGAGGATCCCATTGATCCTTAAAGAAAGAAAATTCTTAAAAATCACCAGGTACCCCCTAAGACTTTCCTCTCCCTGTCCTCCATCTCTTTGTAAAACAAACCAATGAACAAAAATAAAAATGTTCCTTATAGCTATTTTTCTTTTGAAAATAGTTTGTAATCTTCCCAAACAAAATTATCTAAAACCCCTGGAGACAGAAAGATGGGGGTAGTGAGGGGCAAAATTAGATTTAACCAGATTAGTAGGACCTATCATTTATTTTAGAGTTAATAAGAAGTTAGAGATGAGGTGCTCATTCTTCAGATTTCTTTGCAGGGCGGGACAACTAAGATAGACCCAAATAAAAGACGATCTAGTTCTTACCACATTTCTTTGGATATGTTGGATGATGCCGCTGTCAGACAAAGAGCACTGAGCATAGCCAGCATAATAACAAACACAATGGAAGGTATGTGATCATATTTATCGTCAAAGTTATCAGGGATTTTTCTCTTTTTAAAATAAAACAAGACCAACTATAACAGTGGTATTGGGGAAGACAATAATAAAACTAAGAATTCCGTGGAAATCTAGTTGAACATTAGGAGGGGACACCAAAATAGAATCATTTCTTTTTATATACAAATTAAAATAATAAGATAGGAACGTTCAGATATAAACCAAGTAACTTCCCAGGATTCTTTCTCACCCTTTGATTCTGTGATTCATAAGTGATTCTACCCCAATCCATGGGTTGGATGTAAAAATGAAAATGTTTTCTTGGCTAAAGACTGTGTCTTTCTATGTATTTGAATGGGTATTTCCCACTGAAAGAATTCTTAATTCTCATATCCATTACCATGTGTTGGTATTTTCCTGAGGTGGATGCACATGTATTTTGTTTTCTGTTTTAGGTTTGCCTTATTTACACATATATATCCAATTAGGGACAGAATATGATACATAGGCCTTTATGGCATAACACCATACTTTAATTGACATAGCACAATTTGGTCTGCAAATTCTAAATCAGAACCTGGTTTCAAATGTCTTTCAAAAATATAGGAGTTGAATAATGAAGGCTCAAAATAATAAAATATCTGATTTATCACATTCTTTCTATCCAGAACTTGAAGAATCCAGACAGAAATGTCCACCTTGGTGGTATAAGTTTGCTAATACTTTTCTCATCTGGAATTGCTCACCACATTGGTTGAAGTTCAAAAAGTTTGTTCATTTAATTGTGATGGATCCATTCATTGATCTTGCCATTACCATTTGCATAGTTTTAAATACACTGTTCATGGCCATGGAACATCACCCAATGACTGACGGATTTAAAAATGTGCTTTATGTGGGAAACCTGGTAAGTCTTTCCCAATGCCCACGTGTCACTTAACTACAGCTTTTCACTCTGATCATCACCCTTATCATTTTACTTTTATAATTCAGATAGATCTACTGTAAAAGTATTACAAATACCTTGCTTAATGTATTGTATACATCATTCATAGTCCTATGTGTTCTGATGGTTTTTGCATCTATTAGTAGTTGTTTAAATTTGTTAAGCACCAGTACTAGGCTGTATTTGTAACCATCAACATTGACAGACAAATTTAGAGGCTAGTCTTTTGATTGAGGATGTTTGGTCCCTTGCTAACAATTTTTAACTGGCATCATTACAAAGATTTCTCTCTGAATATTGAAGGCAACACCATAAAATTTTGGTCTTTTTTTTTTTAATTAAAAACTGTATCCCTGAACACTGTTTAATGAGTGAATAGAATTATAGTGTCTGATGTGAAATGGTACTTCCACAGTATTCTGCTCCATTCAGACTAAATCTAGAATACTTTGTTCAGTTCCAAATCACATCTTTGGCAACAGAAGCTTGAGGAACATTCTGAGGTGATTGGTGGATTGATTATTCTGAGGATAGTATGGGACAGGGAAAGAGTAAGATGAAACAAGAATGCAAAGTCAAATTATGGAAAGCCGAGAATATCAAGCTAAGTCACCTGAGTTTTATTCAACAGGCAATAGGATGCAAGTCACTGGAGTGTTTTGAACACAGGAAGGACACAATTAGATCTGTGAATGAGGAAGTTTAATCTGGGAGCTTTGTGGAAGATATATTGGAAGGGGACAGGACTAGAGAGGGAGCAGATAAAATAATCAAGGGAGAGCATATAGAAATAAGAGAGGACTGGGTGAAACTATGGGGAGTACTTCTATTAATGGGATGGAAGAAGAAAAGGATGAAGTGAAAAAAAAAATCAAAGATTCAAAAGGAGCATTCAGGGAGTAGGGGGAATGACCCAGACAAGTATTTCAGAAGCAAAAAGAAGGCACTATTCAAAAAGAAAAAGTGTTCAATATGGACAAAATGCTACAAGTAGACCAAGGTGGGTAAGGACTAAAAGGATAATTGAATACAGCTCTTAAGAGATCATTGGTGACTTCTGAAAGAGTAGTTTCAGTTGTGTTTTGAAGAACAAAACACATCTTGGAAGGTGTTAAGGAGTAAGTGGGCAGTCAGGAAGTACACTGGATGTGGCCAGAGACCATTTGTGTTATTTAGTTTGTCTTGAGAATAGGGGACACCTCAATGTCATTTTATACTATGCAGATGGAAGAAGTCAAGAGAGAAGAAGAGTATGAAGATACATAGGAGAGAAATTATGAGGAATAGAATAAAATAGACATGAAGGAGAATAGAATGGAAGCCAAAGGCAGAAGATATTTTCTTGATAATGAGAACACATTCTCCTCTGATACTCCCAGGAAAGGAAAAGATGGGTAAAAACACAGATTTTTGAGATATATAAGAAGAAACTTACATCAGCTTGTATACTCATAAATTTATAAGGCAAGGTCATCTGCTGTGATTATGTATATGGAGTTGGGATGGGGACCTTGAGAGATGATAAGATTTAGAACAGGCCCTAGGGTATGTGACTGGGAGTCAAAAGTTGAAGAAAGACTACAAAGCATGAGTGAGGATTCAACTGAATTTATATAGCATATATGTGTAGCACCAGCACCAGTATTAGGCTGTATTCATAACATCAACATTGACAGACAAATTTGGAGGCTAGTCTTTTGATTGAAGATGTTTGTTCCCTTGCTAACAAAATTTTTAACTGACATCATTACAAAGATTTCTCTCTGAATATTGAAGGGAACACCACCAAATTTTGGTCTTTTTTTTTAAAGGCTACACAAGGAACAATAACAGCACAGTTATTACTTTTTCCAAGAATGTTTTGTGGCCTGAGAAGAAATAAGAAATCAGATCCCGGGGGATACTGTGGTTGAGGATTAGCAAGGTGGAATTGACAGGCGTTCAAAGGGACAAGTGATTATAGCTGAATTGAATGGGGTCATGAATGGTTAGGGAAGGAAGTGAAGTAGGAGTACAAGGAGGGGTAGAGAGACTGTTGAGCCCAGTGATGTTGAAGAGTAAATTCGGTGGAATGAGTAGAAAGCCGAGAGGTTGTGGTCAAACAATGGAATTTCATAGTTAAGGATCTTGGAGATAGTAGAATCCCAACAGATAGTGAAGTCTAAAATATACTCATGTTTATGTATGACTAAAGGGGATGGAGATTGGTATTGGGAAAATCTAAAGTCAAAGTCTTAGGAGGATTTTTGGTGAAGGACAGATTGAGGGGAACAGACAGTCCAGGCGTGTGATATCATTGCACACAAGTCTCAGTCAGTGCGGAAACTTCCTTTAACAATGTTGAATGACAACATATTTCTAATACATGGTCTTAGAGACTGGCCCAAGGACACTGGCAAGGCAAGAGGATTACTTGTAGTCACACAGCTAATCTGTTTTAGAGGCAGGATCAGAATCTAGGTCTTCTTGACTCCAAAGCTAGCCCTCTATCTGCTATGACATGTTACCTCTCAATTAGAAGGATAATCAAAATTAATATTAAAAATTATTGAAGATCATTGTAGAGAATGACAGCAAAAGGACAGAAGGCTGATGGAGATACTCAGGTCAGTAAGGAAAAATATTCTCCTGGAAGATTCTGAAATTTGTTATGTGACAATAAGAATGGGTAAAAGGTAGTATGATTGGATTGTGTAATTTTTAAATGAGAAAACCATATTCCTAGCTGATGGCAGCAGAGGGAGAAAAGTATATATGCACTTCTCCTCCTAGTCTCATGGGTTGAAGGGTGGAAGAAAGGTTTGTAATTGCATTCTCCATGTTGTCTTAAAGCCACACATCAATTCATTCAGTAAGGTAAGAGTATTTAAGGAAAAGTTTGAGACTAAAGTCAGGTTTCTTTAGTACTGAGTAAGGGTTCCAATGGGTACTTTGGAAGGTGCTATAGTGAGGGTTATTCTGGTGAGTGTTTAATAACTGACTCTGGGGGGACAGGATGTATACACTTTTAAATTTAATCTATATTATTAACTTTTCTTCATCAATTTCTTAAGTCTTAACGATCAACAAAGCAATAAACCAAGCCCTGTAGTGTTTGCTGATTTCCAAGGTATAAATGCCCACATTGAAAACTTATTAGTCCCATCTCAAAAAGATTTAAGCTAGCTCTCTAGCACCAGCTCTAGCTGAGAGGACTAGAGCACACCACAGGAAGGGTGAGGATCATATGGAAAGAGATACAGGAAGAGATTTGAGGGAATGAACCAACCTTTTAGTATTATAGTAATAGTGAATGCTGGGCATTAGAGTACCATGTTAATAATAAATGCAGAGCTAATGCTGAGTAGGTAAAAATTGGCTAACAGAAAAGATTAAATCATTAACCAGGCCTGAGTATTTAAGAGAGGAAACGATGATACCTACAAAGTTTGGTTCTCAGGGTTCAAAAATTCCTGATGAGGAATGGAAAGAATTCTATTAAGATCCTCACAGACCGTGCTCCTTCAGGTACTAAGCATAAACATTCTGAGACTGGGAAAAGGCACTTTCTAGTCCAGGTGACTTCAGAGGCATCCTTTTTGAGTACCTAAACAGCCTTAAAACTCAATATTGGGGCTGTGCTAAAAAAAAAATAGCAGATTTGTTGCTGGCATAACTTTACCAAACGGCAATCACAAGGTTCATGATAAAAGGGTTTTTATAAAAATTTTTTCCTCAACCTTAGCTTAAGTGATTTGCCCATGGTCACAGAATTCATGCATCAGAGGCAAGACTTGAACCCTAAGTCATTTTTTTTAATGTAAATCTGGCACTCTATCCACTATTTCCCCTTTTTACAATAAAATAATGAATTAGTGATATCTTACAATGTGCTTCTTTGTCAGAATTTGGTAGCCCTACTTCAATTTTTTTCTCTATTTTACAAATTAATCTATTAATAAGACATTTGTCACAGAAATGTTCTTTGGAACACTAGAGATACTCACACAGAAAGATAAGATAGCGTCAAAAGTTTGTCACTCTTGAGGCAGCTAGGTGGTGCAGTGGATAGAGCACCAGCCCTGAAGTCAGGAGGACCTGAGTTCAAATCCGACCTGAGACCAAACACTTGACACTAGCCGTATGACCCTGGGCAAGTCACTTAACCCCAATTGCCTAAAAATAAAAAATAAAAAAATAGAAAAAAAAAGTTTGACACTCTCAGTCAGAGGAAGGCAGTGTAATACACTGGAAAAAGCACTGAATCTGCAGTCAGAAGATCTAAATTCAAATCTTGCCTTTGGTGCTTATCACCTGTGTGGTCTTAGGGCCTCCATTTCCATACCAGTTAAATGGATGGCCTTTGAGGTCCTGTCCAGTTCAAGAGTTACAATCCTTTTGTCATCTTCCAGAAAGACTTTGCCTAATTCACTTCAACATTGTGTATACTTTGTTAGACAGTAAATCATCACAGAATATCTAGCCATCTGGAGTATAAAGTTTTTCGGTTTTATTTTTGTTTTCCTCAAAGCATGATCTTGATGTGAGGTTGGGCAGTGAGGACTTCCGTGGCCACTCTGTGTACACCAGTTGTGTGAAGCCTGCTGAAGAGATAAATCCTTCTTTTTATTAGCATAAGAATGTATGGAATCTGCTGGTTCTAGAATAACATATTGGTTTGCCTTTAGGTTTTCACTGGGATTTTCACGGCTGAAATGGTTTTAAAGCTCATTGCCCTGGATCCATATGAGTATTTCCAAGTAGGCTGGAACATTTTTGATAATGTCATTGTGACCCTTAGTTTAGTGGAGCTTTTCCTCTCCAATGTGGATGGATTGTCTGTCCTCCGTTCATTCAGACTGGTAAGCACGGACCAGACCTACCTTTGCATTCTGTGTTTGGGAAAGAAAAAAGGAAAGTAGCATTTGCCCAGCCTTTTAATTTTATTTTACATAATAAAATGTTGCTTTTTAAGGTAAACTTAGAATATAACTTTATAAAATATGGAAAAAGTGAAGGAAATTCAGCAATAGCATATTTGAAAGTGAAAATACAAAGTTAATCTTAATGTTTTAGAGAAACCTGGACCTCCAATTTGATGTTTATATCTGGTATAGAAATGAGCCAAGTAATGCTTTTTTTTTTTTGAGATAGGGTAAGAGGTCAGCTATACTGCCTAGCAATCTGTCAATCACTAAACATTTATTAAGTGGGATCTATGTGCCAAGCACTGTGTCCAATAAGTGTTAGAAGTTAGAAGTCCAATAAGTTAGAAGGACAATAAAAAGTATTTAGAACTTGACTTTATTATTTTATGTATTAGGAGCAGTTGGGGAGCTAATAATGCCTCCTAAAATAGCCACTACATGTCATAAAAACTATTATTTTATTACTTATAAAATAATTTATAAAAATAGCTCTTGGTCTTTGCCTCAAATTGAATGTTATATCAAATCATCAACATATGAAAGACCTACTATTTCATTAGTGTAGAAACTCCCTCCAATACTGATCATGTGATATGATCAAACTTACATAGTCTTACAGTTTTCTGAGACTCAGAGAGGTTAAATGACTTACTTGCCCTTGATCACAGAGTTAGTTTCACAGACAGGACCTGAACCTAAGTCTCTCTGACCTCGAATCTGTCATTATATCCTCTACGCCATATTGTGGCTATAAGGGAATATAGTTGAACAATGTCGATGTTATTCCTTAAATAAAATTCCAAACTCCCAAGTGCACTAGATTGCTACCTTATAAAAAATAGAGTGTTATGATATGGATATTGAGAATCAGTGAGAAATTACATCTATCAAGTAAATTTTCAATGAGTGGTACTGATGACAGAAGCTAAAGTTAACTTTGATTTTCTTATTTTGTTTCTTTAATCTCTTACTATTAATCACATATAAAAAACAATTTTAACAGTATTTTTTCTTGAGTTCCAAATTCTCCCCCATCCTCTCTCCCCTGACCCCCATTGAGAAGGCAAGCAATTTGATATAGGTTATACATGTGCTGGCTTTGATTTTTGAACTTGTACTGATTGTAATACTGAGAAATTTAAAAAGAATATTCACTTTAATTAACGACGATGGTGCTTTGTTTGCTTTTTAGCTCCGAGTTTTCAAATTGGCAAAATCTTGGCCGACATTGAATATGCTGATAAAAATTATTGGTAACTCAGTAGGGGCTCTGGGAAACCTGACCTTGGTGTTGGCCATCATTGTCTTCATTTTTGCTGTGGTCGGCATGCAGCTCTTTGGCAAGAGCTACAAAGAATGTGTCTGCAAAATCTCCGATGATTGTACACTTCCACGTTGGCACATGAATGACTTTTTTCACTCCTTCCTAATTGTATTCCGGGTGCTATGTGGAGAATGGATAGAGACCATGTGGGACTGCATGCAGGTTGCAGGACAATCTATGTGCCTTATTGTTTACATGATGGTCATGGTGATTGGAAACTTAGTGGTACGTAATCAGAAAATTTCATACATTCATTCAGAAAACTTGTATTAAATTCTATAATCTGCTGTCATTTTTTATGATATTGAGTTCTTAGTATTCACCAGTCTTTTAGCTAGGTTGACTATAGGTATGTTAATTACTCTTGTTTGTAATACTAATAACTCACATTTATACAACAGTAGAATTTACAAAGCATTTTATTACAAATACTGTTATCTACATAACGTGAGCAGTATTCTCCCCATGTTGGTGCTGAATGTGGCATTTTAAAATTTTGAGAGACATAGTTTTTGGGTAACTTAATCTTTAAATCATAATTTAATCAGGGTAAGTTAATCATTTTACTAATAAGGGTAGCATGTTTATTAATAAAAAAGAGGTCAGTAGCACTCTTCAATGCCAAAGACCCTTCATGGTGGTGGGCTCACAGTTTATATACCCTTGGAAGAACAGTTATTCCTAAGGCTGTCTTCAACTCTGATTAGTTAACAATCAAAGAGAATGGATTTTAGAGTGGGAGATGGGCTGTATTACAATAAAGATCTTAGAATACATGACTTGGATCACCCAAGTCTTGGTCAAAGAGACCTAACAATTTCCATGTCATAGGGGCAGCTAGGTGGTGCAGTGGATAGAGCTCCAGTCTTGGAGTCAGGAAGACCCGAGTTCAAACTCAGCTTCAGATGCTTGACCTTACTAGTTGTGTGACCCTAGGCAAGTCACTTAACCCCAATTGCCTCACCAAAAAAAAAGCCCCCCCACAAAAAAAAACAATTTCCATATCATCTGAGTAAATACAATGAGCAGGAATCCTCCAATTATCCTAAACTTAGAATTTATTTTACTGTTTGATTAGATCTTAATTTCCTGCACTGGTTGTTTCTGGGTGAGGAAGTAGAAAAGGTCCTGATTCAGAAATTAGTTATTAATTCAAGAGAGAAATAATCATTTCTCTCATGAGGAAGCTGGGACTCAGGTTAAGTGAATTTCTCAAAATTCATAATGACTGTGTGCCAAGGCTGAGATTCAGTGCAACCTATAAATCTTTTGACTCTAAGTTCCAGTAGTCTTTCCACTACAGCATTCTAAGGCAAAACTATCACTTTATCTAGTTAAAAAATAGTGGCATCATATGAATAATGCCTGTAGGTTTTACCTCCCATTGGTAAAATTCTATCATTATCAAAAATGAAAATAGCTATTAAAGGCAAAGGATATTATTTAGGCTTATCAGCTGCTGTTGTTCAGTTGTGTCCAACTCTTTGTGACCCCATTTGGGGTTTTCTTGTCAAAGGTTTTGGAGTGGTTGGCCATTTCCTTCTCCAGCTCATTTTACAGATGAGGGAACTGGGGAAAAGAGGATTAAGTGACTTGCCTAAGGTCACACAGCTAATAAGTGGGGGGGGGCAGATTTGAACTCAGGAAGATGAATCTTCCTGACTCCAGGCCCAGCACTCAATCTACTGTACCACATAGCTGCTCTCAGGCTTATCAATACTTCTGTGCAAACCTTAATGACTGCATCATAGCTCTTTTTGCAGACATTTATTTAAGCATGTTGCTTCTTCTTTGGACTCTTCCTCTCTCTTCTTTTCTGCTTCCTGTTCATTAAACATTTCAAGTTAATTCCCATGAAGAACTGGGACTAGATTCCCTTCTAACGTGGATTCCTGTCTTCCTAGCTTGATGGTGTCATATGGAGTTGCCTCATTGCCTCAGCTTGCCTTCAGCCCCCTCATCAGATGATCAGGTTGCCCAACTGAGCTACGTGTAATTTTAGTGTTGAAAGTACCTATTTTGATATTACTTATTTCCTGCCCCTCACTGAGACGTGAAACAAAGGAGAACCTCTAGGGTGATTATTGTGGTATTGCAAGGAGAAGACTTGCAGGTAGCAGATTGATATATATATTTCTATCTCCAACTGATGTGTAAAGCATTTACTGGTGTTAGGGTTTTGTCATTAACCTTTCTGGTAATTATTATTGATCCTAAATGGGAATTAAATTAATCATCCTCCTTAGAAACATTTGGTAAGTGATTCTGAGGACTAGACCTGTGTGCCACTTATTTTACAAGCCTTGATCATATTAAAATGTTAATAATAAATGCACTTTCTGTTTGTTTTCTAAACACTGTCCCTTCAAATAAAGTAAGGGAGAGAAAGCATTCCACATTCAGTTTTATCTACACGTCAATTATCTGTCCTAAATTATTATCTTAACTAGATGTGGACTGATTTGCAAAATTTTCTTTGTGCAAAGCTTGGCACAAAATCATATTAGCTCAGTCTAAAAGCTCATGAAGTGACCTAATCTAGCCCTCTGCATTCAAACAGGTAATGTGTTGTTATCTCCATTTTTGCATCTCGAGAAACTGAGTTTCAGAGAGGTGAAATGATTTGACCAGGGTCATACAGGCAGTAGCTGTAATAGGACAAAACTAAATTCCTTCCAACAAGTACAGTTCTCCATCTTCCATACCAGTGAATTCCTTCATTGATTAAACAAAAATAAGTTGGTTTTTAAATACTCCATTCGTTGGCAGTCTACTAATTTCAAATTTTAGAATATAATTATTAGAATTTTTTTTATATTATGTAACCATCTTTTCTTCACATTACCTTTTCCTTTGGTGTCTCTCACATTGGTATAATCTAGTATGATACAAAGATATTCAGTTACCATTAGATGGTGATCATGGTGGTAATAGGAGAAAATAAGAAGCATTATTCACAAGCTATATAACCTATTCAAAAACAAGTAAGTCTGCAGATTTTGAAACTTCAAAATGAATCTTTAGGAAGCATGTAGCTGAATGGTGTCAAAATGTGTAGATGTGGGGCCAGCAACACTCACTAGTGCAACGTGACCCAGATTAAAGTGTAATTGCAAAAACAAAAAAAAAATGTAATTGTGATATATTTAATGAAATGACTAAAATTCAGTAACTTATAGGTAACACTACATTTTAAAACTTAGTTAATATGTGGACCACAGACTTTTTTTGTACAGCCTAGTGCCCCTCCCCTTTCTGGTTGAATACAATACCACTGTTACAGCTCAACCCCCTAGTTGTACAAAGGAAGAAACTTGGACCAACAGTAGGAAAATCATTTACAACTTAGTCACACAGAAGCAGAGTGGAAGGCCTAGGACCATAACTGAGGTCTACCTGAGTCCAATGATATTGTTTACTGTACTACAAAATCAGTTAAAGGCTACATGGGAGGAGTGGATGTTATTTAGAATGAAACTTTTAATTATCTAGACATTTCATTTGTATTGCTTATCTCGATCATGAATAATCATCAATCTGGATGTAACATAATTTATGCTTTCCATCTAGCCATTAGGTACTCAACAGCTTGTTAAGGCAGAATTTTGTAAATACAGTGATTGTTGAAAGACTAGAATCAAGGTGCTAACCAAAGGGATGTGTCATGGAGAAAAATATATATATTCCAGAGAAAAGGAAGCCTCCAGATTGGGATTTTTTCACTTGTCCAGTTTCTGTTACTTTTTTTAAATACATACTAACATGTCACAAGACAGAAATGGTAGTCCATCTTTCTCATTACTCACTAACATTTCTCCTGAAAAAAAATACATTTTCAAATAAATAATCCATTCTTACTGCTAAAAGAGAGAGAAAAAATGCACAGAGCTTCAGAATAATTATACATGTAATAGGAATCATTCTGTAAGATTTTCCCTGTTCTCACCTCCTTTTCAAAATCTTCTAAAATCAGCTTTTGGCAACAGAATTCCTGGCCTCCTTCTACATGCCTCACCCACTGATACTCTTAATAGTGACATAGCAACAGTCTTTCCTTATGAGAATGAATAATTCCATCTCCTGTTGGACACAAGGGATAGTACGTCAAGAGACTGACATAAGAAATAATTAAATATTAAGAGACTGACTACTATGGACAGTGACAACTGACGTTTATCCCACATGTAAACAAGGAAAGAGTGTTTTGTGGCAGGTCTGACTTTTTATCTGCAGACAAAAAGAATTGCCTTTAAATATACACACATGGATGTGTGTATATGTGTATATGTGTCTATGCACACATACGTGTACATGTGTATATATTGTGTGTGCATATCAATGTCCCTTCAGAAAATAAAAGGTACCATTGTACTTTTTCCTTCCCTATTCATAGGTACTGAACCTTTTTCTGGCTTTGTTGCTGAGCTCATTTAGTTCAGATAATCTTACAGCAATTGAAGAAGATACTGAAACAAACAATCTTCAGCTCGCAGTGGTGAGGATCAAAAAGGGAATAGATTATGTGAAAAAACACATGCGGGAATTCATTCAGAAAGCATTTGTTAAAAAGCCAAAGATTTCAAATGAGATCAGAAGAGTGGATGATCAAAATATTCAAAAGGAAAATTACATACCCAACCGTACACTTGCTGAAATGAGCAAAGATCAACACTTCCACAAAAATAGAGACGGGACCAGTGGTTTTGGCAGCAGTATGGAAAGATATATGATGGATGAGAGTGACAGTCAATCTATCATTCACAATCCTAGCCTCACAGTCACAGTACCAATTGCCCTAGGAGAGTCTGATTTTGAAAATGTAATTACTGAAGAATTTAGCAGCGAATCAGATGTTGAGGGGAGCAAGGAGGTAAGATTATTTTATGCATATTTTTGATGTTATGACATAGTAAGATAGGATAATCATTTGTAAGGTTTTTGTCTTTATGTTTGCCTTCCCTCAGTGATTTCCTAACAAATCTGCTTATGATTTCACTTATTAATATGAAAAAATGAATTTCACATCTCATAAATTATATAACACATCCAGTTGATTAGCACAGAAAATATCTTTAAACTTGTCCTTTTAGGGAAAAAAATAATTCTTTTATTTTCAAGTTCTATTTAAGAATGTTATTTGTGTTGCCTTAAGTCATGTGATAGACTTTTCAAATAATCATCAGGTAGAATTGAATATGTACTCTGCAGGATTCACAGAAGTTAAGAGATGGCCTCATGAGTTTATAGTGTAGTTATGGATAAAAGACTGACATGTAAAAAAACCTTGAAAACTACTCATAATGAATTGTGGAATCATGATGGGCAAATGCTGTGAGAGTTCAGAGAAGGAGCTAAATGAGCCCCTCAGGGAGGGTTTCATGAAAGAGCTGAAACTTGAGATGGGCCTTGAACGAAGCGGTGGTAATTGAATCACTAGAGGGGAGACAAGAAGGAATTCTAGAAAGGTGAGAACTTATTAAGGTAAAACTATTTTCCACATAGTACAATGATTTAATTTCATTGACATTTATGACAGATTTATTTAAGTAAGAGAATACTTCATAGAATTTTTAAAATTCAAAATAATAGTAATAGCCATTATTTATATAATGTTTTATGGCAGGGTTGGGGAACTTGCGGCCTTGAGGCTACATGTGGCCCTCTAGGCCCTCCAGTGCCACCCTTAGACTGAATCCACACTTGAGGACCTAGAAGGCCACATGTGGCCTTGAGGTCGCAGGTTCCCCACCCCTGTTTTATGCTTATTCAACCTTTCCATATTACATATGAATTACATATAAAATAGGAAACCGAGGCTCAGGTTAAATTATGTGGGTGTCACTTAGCTAGTACATGTCAGGGGAAGTATCTGGACTTAATGTCTTTCTTGACCCCAAGTTCAACATACTTTCCACTGCACCATGTTGCCCATTAGTCCTCATTTCTGAGAGATCTTTTGCTACCCTGCTATAACTCTTCTATTCAAAAACAATATAGAATTGAAATAGAAAGAAAGGAATCAAAAGGGTCCTTGTTTGATTTTTCAATTTGGTAACTATATGCAGAAAAGACACCAGGATATGATCACACTTTCGAGAATAATGAATGTCTTTTTTCTGCAAGGATCAAAAATGCAGTTTTATGGAAATATGTATTCGTTCCCTGGAGCAGTTCTTCAAATGTGCCTTCTTGACACACTACTGGTTCTGTGGCTACATTGTATTAACTACCTCGTGTTGCTGCTTGAGTGAAACAAACCTCAAGAGCTAAATATGTGGTAAATTTTTAGATGCTATTAAATACACAGCTTGTAAGTTGTTGTTTGTTTTGTTTTATTTAAATAGGAGCGCTCAAAGATCTTTCAAGGAAGTTTTACCAGTAAGGCAATCCAAAATCCTGCTGGAATGATTTTAAAGAAAGGGGGGACATGTCTCCTTATATATCTGGTTGTTTGTTTGTTATTGTTGTTGCCTTAATTGAGGGGGGGCATAACTGGTTCTTTGTATGATCCATTGTGCTGGAGGTTTTCTTTGGTCCAAGTTGTAATTTTCATTTTTAAGTACTAAGGGAATATAAATAAGCAGTTCAGTATAGCGAATCAAGCAGTGGACCAATGTTCAGCCCTTTGACCTTGGGCAAGCCATTTAATCTATCTGAGACTCAGTCTCCTCATCTGTAAATTGGGGATAATAATACCAGCTGTCTCCCAAAGTTGTGAGGATAAAAAGATTTAATGTCTGTAAAGTGCTTTGCAGACCTTAAAGTACTAAATAAACACTAGTTATTACTTGGAAGTTTCCCCCATGTTGTTTTAAGACTCAAACACCAGAATTCAAATACAGAATAGAGAAGACAAAAAGAAACATTTTATAAACTTAAATTCTGAAACTTAAATACAAAGTAAGAAAAGAAGAAAAAACCATGTCATGTGCACAGCAGAACATAACAAAGGATTCAAAATATATAGCAATAACTTTTCATTTCAAGAAAGCCTGTATGATACATACTACATGTATGATATCTTCACTAGCCTGTCTAGCCTAGAAACTCTGCCAGAACCTGGAGATGTAGGAATTTGCCTAACTTGCTTTGTAGAATAGTCCAACCCTGGTCCATTGACAGTTAACAACCAGGAAGATTTCCTTGTGGATTGCTAGTTTAGATGAGGAGACCTACATAGAGAAGACAGTGAAATATACTTCTGTGAATTGTAATTAGATTCTTCATTCTGCACTAACGAACTGTTTTGGCTAGCAACCATCTTCCAATATTATTAAAGTTAAGTTCAAGCAGAATGTTTAGCTATAGTGCCTTCCTAAATCAATCTGGTTTCATTCTACAGACGCCAGTGTCTGTGCTTGATGGAAGGCTATTGACCTAATATAGACACAGTTTATGTCTCCTGGAACTAGAAATCATATGCTGTCATCTGTGGTTTAACCACTAGAATATAGCCACTATTATACCTATTCAGAATATGGTGATAGAACCACCTATTAGATCCCGGAGTGTCTACCTCTAGGCCTAAGTCAGAGTGTTATTGCCACAGCACAGTAGAAATGACATGTTAAATTAAACCTAAAGAGAAGATCCGATTTTTCTTGTATCACAGTGATTCGCTATGTCATTAGGATGACCAAGAGTTCTTAGAAACTTAGGATCCTTTCATATAATGCACAAAATTCTCATTTACTTTTGAAATAAAGACACATAACCTTCACATTCACCGAATAATAGATTACTTTCTCCCCTATTTAAAAAGGTATATCATACTGTTTTACTAAAAGCACTTTAACCTTATTCTTGGGATTGTATATAAGAATAAGAATAATAACAAAAGCTTGCATTTTATGCTTTGATGGTTGCAAAGCACTTTACAAATATTGTCTCATTTTATTCTCACAAAAACCATGAGATATAAGTGCCATTACTGTTCCCATTTTACAGTCAAGGAAACTGAGGCAGGCAGTGGTTAAGTGACTTAACCAGGGTCACACAACCAGTAACTATGTGAGGCCTGATTTGAACTCGGGCCCCCCTGGCTCCATGCCCAGTACACTATCTACAAAGCCACCTGACTCCTAATAGGGTTATCTCAACAATCAAATGAGATAATATATAAATGCTGTCTCTAACTGTTGTCATGATGATGACTAATCATTTAAACATGTATTTTCTCTAAGCTTAAAATCTTCAAAATCATGATTTCTTATGAAACACAAAATACAAAACATTACATAGTAAATGATATGCTGAAAATGTCTCACTTAAGTTATACGTTTAGTGAAGTATACGTTATAATATCAAAATCAGAGCCTTTCTTTTTTGATGTGACTACTTCTTAAAGTAATATTAAGGTCTTCATTGTGAGTTCTCTAATCTGATTAGTTTTTGGCCACTTTTCTAGGCAATCAGTCAGTAACCATTTATCGAGTGTCTACCATGTGCCAGGCACTGTGCTAAGTGCCAGGTCTGTAAAAAGAGGATTAAAATCTCCTCCATCAAAGAGCTCACACTTTAATGATGGAAACAACAAGCAAACAAATATGCACAAACAAGCTGTATACAGAAAAAATGGGAAATAATTAACAGAGGAAAGGCACTAGAATTAAAAGGGGTTAGGAAAAGATTCCTGTAGAGAATAGGGTTTTAGCTGGTATTTAAAGGAGGCCAGGGAAGTCAGGAGGCAGGGATGAGGAGGGAGAGTATTCCTGGCACAGAAGACAGCCAGAGACGATGGCTGGAGCCAAGAGGTAGAGTGTCTTGTTCAAGGAATTGCCTGGAGGCCATTGTGCCTGGCCTGAAGAGTATATGGTGTGGAGTAAGGTGCAAGAAGACTGGAAAGGTGGAGTGGGGAGAAATGAGATTATGAAGGACTTTGAAAATCCAACAAGATGTTGTATTTGGTTGGAGGCAACAGGGAGTCACTGGAGTTTATTTGAGGAAGGTGACATGGTTGGACCTGCAATTTAGAATTTTAGAATTTAGCCCAGAGTGTTGGTTTTTATCTTTTAAGCATGGTAAATTGTAAATGACTCATTATTCTGAATTTGAGAAAAGAAAGGAGAGGTTTGGATTTATTCCACTGAACTTATTTTAAAAGCGAGGGTGAAAGGATCTTTTCAGGGCAGGAAGATGACTCACTTTTGACTTATTTATTCTTTGAAAAGTAAGCTGGCTAGAGTTAGTGATGGATTAGATTGTAAGTTTACTAAGTCTATGAAGATCTCTTCCAGCAAGAAAATTCAGTTTAGCATCATTTCAATTTCTTTTACATCTGTAATTACTATATTAAACCAAAATGGATGTAATTGTGTGCAAAAACCCACATGTAATTTAAGTTCATGAAAAGGACACAATTCCTAATTATTCTCTGAATAATTCCAGAACTACTCCAAGGTTTTTTTGTTTTGTTTTGGTTTGGTTTTGAAAAATAATAGCATTTATTAAGCTTATTTTCATTGTTGTCTGTAATATTCTACTTATCGTGCTCTGGAAGAAAGTAATAACATCATAGCATTGGAATGCACGTTACTAAATATTCTGATCTTGACCCCTATATTTGGGCAGGTAAGTTCCTAATCTGTTGGATATAGATAATAATTGTATTGCTATTTTTAAGATCCCTAGAACAGAGATTCTTCTTCCTTTTTAAAAATTTTGGTAATCAGTAGCAAAAATTTGTCTCTAAAGAGAATAATTTGTTAGTTTTTGCATTTCTGATTCCTATTAATATAATCCAGCACTATATATATATGTATGTATGTATGTATGTATGTATTTATGTATTTTTATAAGAGTACTACATTGCTGCCTAATTTAATGTGTTTGGTATATTTTCAATTCCAGACCTTTGAAAAATCTAGAGAT